AGATGGGGAAATTATCCTGGATTATCCAGTTGGGCCCTCTATGCAACTACAAGGGTCTTTATGAGAGAGGGACAGAGGGAGACTTGACACACACAAAGGAGAAGTGTGTGTGAAGATGGAACAGAAAGAAATCTAAAGATGCTGGCCTTGATTGGAATGATGCAGCCTGCCGACACCTTGATTTTGGCGCAATGAAACTAATTTTGGACTTCTGGCCTCCAGAATGCAACAAAATGAATTTCTGTTGTTTTAATCGACCAAGATGGTAGGAATTTGTCACAGCAGCCAAAGGAAAACTAATACATAAGGTGTTTCCTCTGTTTATCAGGTTTCAGAGATTTGTACATATGTATATGTTCTACATTACTGCTTATCTTTCTGGATTTTCTATATTCTTCCTGATTTTTTTCCTACTTGTTCTGTCTCAGATTGAGGGAGATATACTACAGGCTCCCCATTATTCCTGAGTTTCTACATCTCCTGCCATCTCCTGTTGTATCTGCTTGGGTGAAAATTTTGTCACATTTTTGGGTACATAACATTAATCACTATTTTATTTTTATCCCATATTGTAGCCGTTAGCATTATAAAGTGCCTTTTGTGCTGTTTTGGATGTGCTCTTGTAAACAACATCATGTGAATTTTGCTTTGTTAGACAATTCTAAAATCCTTTTTGGGGCACCTGGGTGGCTCAGTCAGTTACATGTCGGCCTTTGGCTCAGGTCATGATCTTAGGGTCCTGGGATCGAGCCCTGGGTCAGGTTTTTTTGCTCAGCGGGAAATCTGTTTCTCCCTCTCCCTCTGCTTCTCCTCCTTGCTCGTGTGCACTCTCTCTCTAATAAATACAAAAAAATCTTAAAAAAAATAAAATCCTTTTCTTTTAGAGTGAATTAAACCTACATATTTATTAATATAATCCATATACTTGGCCTCAGTTCTGTCCTACGGGTACAGCTAGACATACAGCCACCCACTTACATGGTCTGCTTTATTTGCTTGCATTCTCTCTTTCTTTTGGTGCTTAGGAAACTTTATATTTTTGCTCTAAGTTTACCTTTAGAATAATACCTTTATATAATAACCAAATCCTCTCTTCTTTGGGATACTGCCTATCTGAACAATTATGAACAATATTGGAATTTGCTAGAAATCTTTTCTTTCTCCTTCCCTCCTGCTCCTTCAGCACCTAATGTGAAATAATAGCTTTTTTTTTTTCTTCTAATCAACACCAATTGGGCAATCTGCAAGCTAGTCTCATTTCCATATGTTCTTCATCTTATCTCCCTACTTTTGGTAGTTACACAAATCGTTATAGTTTTTGGTAGTTACACAAATCATTATAGTTTTTGATAGTTATACATTTTTTATAGTTATATTGTTCCTACAATGCAGAGCAGATAAGCATTGTACAATGATCACCTCCTTTATTTCGATCATTTAGTCATGGTACTAGAGATAAAGATATAATCAATTCCCCTTGAATATGGAAGTCAAAACTCAATTTCCTGGATTAACTTACAGACTTGGACACAAGCAAGTGACTAAGTCCCACCAATCAGAACTTTGATCCAGAAGTGAGGAATGTTAGGAAGCCACTGTGCATGGTGGAAAAGCTAGTAGCCCAGGCATCCAGCTTGCACAGGCAATGATGAAAGAGAAGTTTCCCAATGATTTAAAGGTCATGTTCCTGAGCCGAAGTGACATATTGTTGGTAGCAGTAGTAGCTGCAGTAACATATAATTTCTGGTGTTTGTACTTTGTAGACATGACATAAGTGGTAGAAGTTTCCTAACAGGCCAATTCTCCAACTTGGTTTTTGAACCCTAGGGTTGAGATTATTTCTCTAGCCTCCAGCCTAACATTATTGTGAACTTCCTAAAATCCTTTCCTGTATTCCCCGCCTCTGCTTAAATTAATCAGAGCAGATACTGTTGATTGCATCCAATGTCCTGACTTGAATCATACCTGGAGGGTCACACATCTCCTACTATTGTTGTAGAGACAAATGATAGAAGCTATGCTAACACACTGAACACACACACAATAGTGCGCAGCAAGGATTAGTTTCCCTCTGGGTACCTGAGAAGGCAAATAGTACACAGGCAGCCATGGTAGATCATGTTGAAGTTTCTGAAATAGATCCGCATTTATTAAAGATATATTTGAGCACTGGACATGGAATGTCCAAGCCTCAAACGCTTCTTGGAATCTTTTTAGTCTATTAAACTCAAGAGCAAAGGTAACAAGCTTTACATGCATGACGGGCTATATAAGTCATGGGGCCCACTGCAAAATGAAAATGCAGGGTCCTTTAAAAAAAAAACTATAATGGGGGGTGCCTGGGTGGCTCAGTTGGTTAAGCATCTGACTCTTGATTTTGGCTCCAGTAATGATCTTGGGGTTGTGAGATCGAGTCCTGCATGGGGCTCTGAGCTGGGCATGGAGCCTGCTTGAGATTCCCTCTCTCCCTCTCCTTCTGCCCTCACCCCCTGCTTACACAGGCATGTGCATGTACATGCATGCATACTCTCTCTCTCTCAAAAAAACAAATATATATATACTCTCTCTCTCAAAAAAACAAATATATTTTATATATATAAAATATTTTATATAATATATTATATTATATATAATTATATATATATAATGAAATTCAAGATGGCAACAGCAGAGCATTAAACCAAGCACAGGACCCTTCCCAGCATGCATGCCCATGAAACCTGCAGGTCCTGTCTATATGAAGCACTTCTGATCTCTTTCTCAACTGTTGGTGTTAAGAATAGAGAATATGCCAGGGACATCTAGATCCATGTCTCTATTGCCACCCCTAAATTCTGCTTAAAACAAGCAAGCCGTGATATTTATATATCACAATTGGCCACAACAAAAGGTTTTCCAGCCAATCATATACAAAATTACTTTAGTGGTGCAGTTACATTTCAAAATTAAAATTACAAAATTACATTAGTTGTACAAAAATACATGTTCACTTTAAGGTAAAAGTATACAAAAATGCATGTTCACTTTAAGGTAAAAAGTGAAATACATGTGCTCACCTTAAACACTGAAAGATATAATGTCATCACCAAAAGGAACCAGATAGAATCCAAGCCCACTGGGGTTATATTTGGGGAAACTGAGTCTTAATGAGGCTAATTGCCTGCCTAGAGTGACACAACCAGCTAGTGCTGAATAAAGAATAGAACCTCTGGCTCCTGGAATCCAGTTTAAATTTGCCTCTTTTATGTGGCACCTCCTCCCTTCCCTTTCATTTCAGAAGCACTGCAGTGGTTAACCAATTCCCCCCACCCCCATTCATGAACATCCACAACCAAAGTAAGAATACCAGAAAATAAAAAGAAATTCAGTATTAAAAAACTTCAGGGCTTGAAGGGAAGAAGCTTCTATCTACATTAAAACAAATTTTCTTTTTAATTACAAAATCCATCCGCAATAATTCAAACTGGATAAATTAAAAGGTGATATTCTACCCATTTATCCAATCTTACTCCCCCAAATTATCACTTCTATCATTTGGGGGAATATCCATTCAGTTATTTTTTTATCCTGGAACTCAAATCACAGTTCAGGTCATTTAGGTCAAGCCTTATTTTAAATATACCATCCACTGGAATTACATTAACTGTGGAATCTTTAAAAATGTTTTATTATAAGCAGAAACTGAACCTAAACACTGAAAATAGGTGAATTTTCTCAGAGGACTGGCCATTTTAGAAGTAGTGAAATAGTCATTCAATTCTCTGTATATGGAAAATAGAAAATCAATGTGCAACAATCCACTTACACTGGCATTTCCTTTGTATTTTGTTTATGTTGATTTGGCCAAATTTCCTTTTCCTTACATTTAATTCTGCTGCCAGTGTTAACTCATTAAGTATTTGGGTGAAAGGATGGTATCACACAGGGACAGCATTTCCCTATGAAATGTCCATATTTCTGAATTAGTGATGAGCTACCTTGTAGTACTTCTTTTCCATTTCTCTCAGACTAATACACATTTTGTTCATTCACTTTTCAATGTGGAAAAAAATTTTTTCCAGAAATCTTTTGGAAGTAGTCCAGGCTTCAACATACACTACCCATTTTCTACTTTAAAGACCTAAACATATAACAGCTCAGGGGGAAAATGTTATATGCATTGCTTATTTACAAAAAAGCTACATAAATTACATCACTACTTTATCTTTGTGGTATTGCAAATAAAGATCATTAAGACTATTAATGGCTGGGCGCCTGGGTGACTCAGCTGGTTAAGTGACTGCCTTCGGCTCAGGTCATGATCCTGGAGTCCCGGGATCGAGTCCCGCATCGGGCTCCCTGCTCAGCAGGGAGTCTGCTTCTCCCTCTGACCCTCTCATGCTCTATCTCATTCTCTCTCCCAAATAAATAAATAAAATCTTAAAAAAAAAAAAGACTATTAATGGCTGATTTTCTTGGGGCACAGGAATTGCTTGGTGGTATCTAACATACACAGTGCTCTACAAATAATCTTTAAATTTTAATGTTACTGCTACTATTGAGCTGTAGATTGAATGAAGAAAAATTTGTTTTTCCAATACAATTAAAATCCCCATGAATAACACCGTTAGAAATTCCTAATAGATTGTGAACTCTTTGCTATTCAATTTGATTGTTCAAATTCGCAAATTCCCAAGCCAAGCTAAGGTAAATCTCGATTCCAATTATGCATAAAAAAATCTCTTAGCATGCCAAATCAGCTAACCAGTTAACTCTGGCAGCCAGGACAACAGCCTGCTGTCTAGGAGTTGGCTGACTCCGTCGACTGCAACACCAAAGCCCGTTATGCCAATAAACCCTCAGGAGCTCCAAGACTCACAGAGCTGTTTGCCACCACCTCCCCACCTGTCTTACACCCACCTTTCCGCCCCGCCCCTTACCTTGGCCTCGCCTCCTGCGCTCAGGCGCGTTTTCCACGCCCCCTGCGTTCAGCCAATAGCTGGTGACGTTTGTGGGAGCGGGCCTTCCCTCCCAGCCAATGCAGGAGATCCTTGCTGTCCTAGTCCCTCCCCTGCCAGGAGCGCCTGCCGGAAGATGGCGGCGGCCGCAGAGCTGACGCTGCTGGAGAAATCCCTGGGGCTGAGTAAAGGGAACAAATACAGCGCTCAGGGCGAGCGCCAGGTGAGAAGCGGGGCTGCGTGGAGGGGAAGAGGTGGACAGGAGCGGGCCCTGCTGAGCCCAGGTAAGATGGGCTAGCCGGCAGAGGCGGAGGATGCGGCTGTTCTCCTCCCCCACGTGTCTGCGCCGCAGGGCGGGCTGCCTGGCGTCTCTCGGTCTCCCGCGGCCTTGGCTGCTGGAGGGTGGAGGGCAGTCTGCCCCGTTCGGGCTTGCCCTGACCTTTTCTCCTGGGAAATTGTCATCCTGTTCTGGGAAAGCGAGGAGAGCTCTCAAAGAGCCCTTAGACCAATCTGGAGGCCCCGTATTTGCGTACAGTGACAGCACTGACTATAACACTACCTTTCATTCAGTGTCACGCAGCTACTCCAGAGAACTAACGGGGTGCCAAGTAGCACTGTGCTGGGACTGGGGAATGCAGGGGTGGTTGAGAAGGACACCCTCCTTCCTCCCTAGGAAGCTTGGTTTTAACAAGGTGGGCAAATATTGTTGCTATTTTAATTACAATAAGTGAAAAGTGCTGTATTGAAGCCGAGATGGCTGAGAGAGCACATAAGTGGTCTTGGTCCAATCTGGAAGATTCAAGGAAGGTTCTTCTGAGTTGTTCAAGTTCAGTGTATGACGTGAAGAGAATGAAGGGGAAGATTAATACAGTATGAAATTGGTAAGATATAAGGACTCCGATTTCTCAGGGCGGTGAAGAACGTTTGTGTTTCGTAAATACCGTTGACGTCGATGGGGAATGCATTAGGAAAGGAGAATAATTGTAGGGAGACTACTTTGGATAGATAACATTTTTTTTTTTGCCTCCTTGAGATTTTTTCCATGTGACGTTTATTTTTTGTTCTTACTTTTCTGTTTTTTGTTTGGTTTATGTTAAAAGCAGTCCTAGTGTAGTTCTTTTTTTTTTTTTTTTTTAAAGATTTTATTTATTTTTTAGAGAGCAAGCGAGAGAGAAACAGCATGAGAGGGGAGAGGGTCAGAGGGAGAAGCAGGCTCCCCGCTGAGCCGGGAGCCCCATGTGGGACTCGATCCCAGGAACCTGGGATCATGACCTGAGCCGAAGGCAGACGCTTAACCATCTGAGCCACCCAGGCGCCCTGTCCTAGTGTAGTTCTTACACTTAAGTTCAGCTGAAGCATAGAAAGGTCTTGGGGCTTGTCCAAGATGAGCCCACTGACTGGAGACAAAGCCTCCTGCTTTTGCTTTTTCCTCTGGCCACATGCTAATTCCTTCCCTTCACCCACTGCTTCCTCGTTTGGTTTCTGTTTTTTTAGAGAACATTGCCAAGACATGAGTCTTGCCTTCAGGAAGCTTACCTAGTATAAGAAACAGTCATGGACAATTAATTTAAGGCAAGACAGAGTATATGCTAAACGGAGGAGACATTGTTGAGGAATGTGGACGAGAAAGTTAATTTTGACTGTGAGAATGGATTTGTAAACTTCACAGAAAACCTGGTGTTTGAAGTGTGTAAGGCCAAAATTATGAAAGATTGGGAAGTTTGGGGCAAGAAGTAGACCAATATGAAAAGTGCTACAATGCAAAGGAAGCCCAAAATTATAGTTTGAGGGCAGTTGTGAGGGCTCTGGAGTTCATAGTGTGGTTTCTTACTTTAATTAAAGCTTTTTTTTTTTTGGTCTTAGCAGAGGGCAGCTATTGAAAGTTTCTATTTATATGTTTGGGGAAAGGGATGGGAATAAATGAAAAAATTCGGTCTTTTTTTTTTTTTGGTGAGGCAGGGAGACAACTGATAGCAGTAAGCCAGCAATGATGTGAAAATATTGGGGTTTGGGAGTAAATGGTCAAGAAAGAATTCTTGAAGCATCTTTGGTGCAAAAAGAGTGGTTTTATTAAAGCACAGGGACTGGACCTGGGGGCAGAAAGAGCTGCACTGGGATTGTGAGGAGTGACTGATTATATACTTTCAAGTTGGCAGAGGGTTAAGGATAGCGTAAGTCTCTAAGGTATTTGGAAGCAAGGTTTCCAGGACCTTAAGGGGCTAGCTGTTGTTAGGAAAAGATCATTTATTACTGTCTAGTAAAACCTTAGTCATGAGACCCTTCAGACCTATATCAGTGGGCCATATGCTTGGAGTATGAGTGCTAACATATATCTTGGGGGTAGAGATAAAGGAGGTTTCGAAGGGGATTTTTAAACATTAAAGGAGACTTACAGGATCCTGGAGGTCAGGCTAATGTTAAGCTAAGGTTGCCTTTTGCCTTTAGCAAAGTATTAACATCGATGGAGGCAGTTGAGTTCCTAGAGGAATGTCACTCTACCTGTCTTGACTTGTCATTGGGCTGTTAAGTTGTAAGGAAATTTAATTTTTTTCTTTTGCCTTTGTTCTCCACATCAAGCAATAAGGCCTTCTCTGCAACATCACCAATTATACAGTAGTCACCCGTCTGTGTACCTCCTCCCCATCCATAGTTTCGATATCTGCCGTTTCAGTTACCCATGGTTAGCCATATCCAGAAACAGATGATCCTCCTTCTGGCATAGTGTCAGAAGGTCAGCTGTAGCCTAGCACTATGTCACAACGCCTACATCATTCACCTCACTTCATCTGATTATATGGGCATTTTGAAATCTTGCATCATCACAAGAAGAAGGGTGAGTACAGTAGAATAGGATATTTGGAGAGGGACCGACCACATTCACATAACTTTTATTACAGTATATTGATATAATTGTTCTACTTTATTATTAGTTCTTGCTGTTAATCTTGGACTACTGTGCCTAATTTATAACTTCAACTTTATCATAGGTATTTATGTATAGGAAAAACATAGTATATGTAGGGTTTGGTACTATGCGTGGTTTCAGACATCCATTGGAGGTATTGGAACATATTCCCCACAGATAAGGGGAGACTGTAATTGAAAACAATCCATGGTCGCCTGGCTGGTTCAGTTGGTAGGGGATGCGACTCTTGATCTGTCGGGGTCATAAGCTCGAGCCCCATGTTGGGTATAGAGATTATTTAAGGAAATAAAAGAAAAAAATTTGAAAACAATCCAGAGATCCAGCTTTCGGAGAATGGTTTGTTAAATTATGGTACATCAGCATATTATAATATTACTTATTAGCCATTGACGTTGATTACTTAGAAGACCATGCCATCCTAAAATGAATGTGGAAAAAGTATGTTTCCCAAGATTGCAACTACATAAGATTTGTGTACTTTAGGTTGTATGAAGGAAAGAGAAGGGACTTTCGAGGCAATCTTAACTTTATCCAAACCCTGATTCTGCCATGACAAAGCGAGTGACCTTGGTTCTTTGTAAGATGATGATGAAATTACTTACCAACTTAGAAGATGTAATGAGAAGGTAACTGGGAAGTTTTTGACTTAGCAATGTAGGATTATGGATAATTTATTTTTACAAATAATTCTCTTTAGAATTAAATGTCATTTCCCCCCACATGCTCATTGATGGCAAGTTCTTTTTCTGTTTTTATTTTGTTTTGTTTTTTAAGTATAACATACCTTCAGAAAAGCAAATAAATCCCAGCGAGTTTCCACAAAGTGAACACAGGTAGGTAACCACACAAGGAACCAGCCAGCAAGGAATAAAACAGTAGAACCAGCACCCCCAGAGGGTTCCTTAGTGTTTTCTTTCAGTGCATTTTTTAAAAGGACACTATTGGTGATCTTAGAGGTAGAGGCTTCATTTGAGTGTGAAGGCAAAAGGAAAATTCAAGGAGCTAAGTGGTGAATGAGAAGTGGAAAACCAGAGAGTACCCTTCGTTACTTCCTTTGACTTGTAGGAAGTAATCTTTGAATCTGTATCTGTAAAATGTTAATCTGTCTGTATACTTCACAGAGTCCTGTTGACCTAGATGTGAGTATGAAAGTGTCCTGCGAAGTGTAAATCACTTTACAAGTACAAGATATTTAGTGACTGCAAAAAGCAGCTGTCTTCCCACGAAAATACTCTTTTTTTGTTTGTTTGGGTCATTTAGATTCTGTGTCATTTGTAATTGGTCAGTCTCCTCATCAGATGATACCTTCCATTTTCTTTTAAATTTCTCATAGTGCTTTGCTTGGTTGTGCATCAAGAACATTTAAATTAATTGTCAATTTCTAATAATCTGAACCTTGGTATTGCTGTTTTTTGTGGGTTTTTTTTAAGATTTTATTTATTTATTTGACAGAGCACAAGCAGGTAGAGCAGCAGAGGGAGAGTAAGAAGCAGGCTCCCTGGCTGAGCAGGGAGCCCGATGTGGAGCTCCATCCCAGGACCCTGAGATCATGACCTGAGCTGAAGGCAGACGCTTAATCGACTGAGCCACCCAGGCGCCCCAGTATTGCTGTTCTAATAAGGGAAACAAAAACAGGATTATTTTTCAGATGATTACCTGAAGCCCAGACTATTATCAGTGGCCCCAGTTATATTTTGGAATGTTTTTTAAACATGAAATATTGGCCAACAGTGACTTCACTCTAAAAAATTGGTGGATATGCAATTCATGGCAACCAAGTCACTGTCACAGTCCATACCTAGTTAACGAGATATAATTATATTAGATCACATATCACTAAAACCAACCCATATCTCATTTGGTGGTTCTAACTACATCAGAATTAAGTCAGTGTTACTGTAATTATATCCTTTTGTTGTTACAGAAGTCAGGTTTATTTAAGTATGTTCATCTTGCTAACATAGGGTATTGGTAAACTTGATCCAGACTACTGCAGTATTATTAGGATTTCCATTTTTTCTTCTAGTATATGCACAGTTATGAATTATGTAGAAACATTGACTTTTGCAATGTTACTACTGTGTCATTTCAAGCATCTGTTCTCAAATTGTAAATAACATCTTAACTACTATTTTCCTGATTTTCATTTGAATGTAATTTAGTATCTTAGAGTAGAATCCTAGGGCGTTTGAGAAAACAATGAGGGATTTAGCAACTCCTTAGAACTTAAGGTCATGTTGGTATTTGTTTTTTTAAATTTTTCAGAAGAACTTTTTTTTCTTTTTAAGATTCCAGTTCTTCAAACAAACAATGGTCCAAGTCTAACAGGACTGACTACTATAGCAGCTCATCTTGTCAAGCAGGCCAACAAAGAATATTTGCTTGGGAGCACTGCAGAAGAAAAAGCAATCGTTCAGCAGTGGTTGGAATACAGAGTAACTCGAGTAGATGGACACTCCAATAAAGACGATATCCGCACTCTGTTGAAGGTATTGTGACTTCTCTTTAGAGGCTAAAATGCATGAACTGTTAGTAGCAGGAAGCTCTCTCCTCTGAGATTCACTAGCCAAAGCCATTGGCCTTCTTGTTTCCTTCTGCCTCAGGGTAATTTTTACCTGTTATTACCTGTGCTGGAAACAGACTCTGCCTGCACTCCCCCTTCAGATCTCAGCTCAGATGCCCCTTCACGAGAAATGTTCTTGACCACCTTTCCCTTAACACATGTGGGTCCTTGTTCTATATGCTTTTTCTTCCTAACACTCACCAGTCAACAATTATTTGTATGATTTTTTTTTTTTTTTTAAACGGGATGTCTTAATACTTAGTTTCTGCACTCAGCAGTAAAGTACTTTCTCGAAGGCAAGAAGGGAATCAGAATCTGATTCTGAGCTACTGAAAAAAACTGTTAGATTGATCTGAAAAAACTCACATTTTTTTCCTTGAGACTTATTGCTTTAAGATCTGTATTTTCTTTCCAAAGAAGCAAAATCAGAATAAAAGACTCTATCAGTATAAGGTATAAGCTGAATATGGCTCCAGAGTCACCAGCAGTAAAAAATATTCCAAATGATACTTTTTGTTATTTATTTACATAAAAATAAAGCAGATCAAAAAAAGTTTTTATAGTGGCTTAGAATTTAAAGGAACCTAGAGATCATCTAGGCAACCACGTATCACTGCAGGAATCCCTACTGTTTTCTGATTTTATTCCCAGTGTCATATAAATTGGTAGTATGAGTTGTGCAAGAAGGTCTCATAGAACTGAAAGCTTTTCAGTGATCATTCTGGGGAAATGGTTTTTTAAACTGTATTTTTGATAGATATCATAAAGAGAACTGATAAAAAATAAATTTCAGGCTTTGTTCCTTTATAGGTCTATCCTGATCAACTATTAATGCTTAATATCCATACTGACCCCTCCCACTGGCCTCTGCCATGCTCATCAGCCTTTCTAGAGGGAAGCAAGCATGTCTTTCCTCTACGTGAATGTGGGATTTCAGGCAAATAAAATATAAATATAACTATCTCTTACAATTTTCCAGAAGAAAGGATAGTAATATAGTACTTCATTCTGAAAGATATGAACAGGATTTCACTGAATTGGGTTTATAAGTTCAAAGTTGTATTCAGAGATTGGGTATTAAGAACATAGAAGTAATTCCACCAAAATGTTGTATCTGGGATATGTAAATATTATTTGAAATTGCAGTCAGGAGAATCTGGCGATATTACCATTTTTGAAGTGTACAGGGGGACAGGTGATTTGGTTGTCATCCTTGCTCTGCCAGTTTCCTTACCTGTACCTGTACCTGCACTGATGTGTCTGATGCAGTTCTAAGGGCCAGTGGTCCAGTGACCCAATAGACACAGTCCCTGCCTGTACAGAGCTCAGACCAGTGGGGGAGACAAATGTATGTATAATGGACGGCAGTGTGATTTTTGGCCATATAAGCATAGATGAGGAAGTGTTGTTTTCTGTTTTGCTTTGCTTTTGGTTGTTTTTATCTTAAAGGCAGTAAATATTTATTATAGAAGTTTAGGAAATATAAGTTAAGGAAAAAAAATTTCAAGCATTAGTAGTCCCACCAAGAGAGAAGTGCTAATAGCACTTATGTTTGGTCATCAAATATTTATTGAACTCCCTTCATGTTCTTTCCATGCTTTTCCTTTCCGTATAGACGTGTGTGTGTTTTGTTTTAAAAGTGGGCAGCTATTGGCCACTGTGACTTGCATTTTTGTTCACTGACAGGGTGTTGTGAATACCTTTCATGTCCACAGAATATTTCTTTATACTATCTTTCTGATAACCTGTTAGTATTGCTTCATAGAGGTGTATCAGGATTTAAATCATTTTAAAAATTTCCTTGTATGCATTCTTTTTAATACTGCTATTTATCTTTTATTACTTATTTTTACTTCTTACTCTTTAAAGTTCCATTTCGGGCTAAAACCACTATTCTAAGTTTAAATGGCTCATAATGTAATACATAATTTCAAAATGGCAGGCATTACAAAACACTAACATTTGCTGAATCTAGATGGAGAATATATAACTGTTTATTATACTGCTTTTTCAATGTTATTAAAAAGTTTAATACTAATAGGGAAAAAAGCCTCAGAACTCTATAGGGGGAAATATTTGATAATAACTTTGGCCATGGGAAAGACTTGTTTAAAACAAAGGAAATGGACACTGAATATTAATTCTGTGAATATTCTGAATATGTGAGATTCTGTGATATGGCAGGGAAAATTTGAATTCTATCACTAATCAGAAAAATACTAATTATAAAGACATTTTAAAGACAACAACCTTGAGAGTCTCTATAACAAAAACTTACACATGGATTCTATTTTAAGAATATATACACTGTACAAACCAGTGTTAAATTATTGTTTCAGGCCTTTTTAAAAAATGCTTCTTAAAATTAAATTGAATATATATTTTATTCTTAAGCTTTATCCAGGGTGTTTCATTTGAAGACACTGGAGAGAAACCATCTCCATTCACAGATCACTCTAGAATTTAAGTGGTAGCTCCTTATATACCAGTCTATTTCACCCTCTGTACCCAAATTTTATTTTGATTTTCCTGCATTTGTCTCATTTTTGTCCATATTCCTTTATGCCTTCATCTGTAGCACCCCTAGCAGTTCCATGCTTATATAGCATTTTGAAAATTACTGTCTTTAGATGAAGACGTGGGCAGACTCAAAGACATTAAATTCAGTTCAGCAGATATTTACTATCTACAGAAATACCATGGGCCAGGCATTTGGGATGTGATTTGAGAAAACAAAATGTTCTCTACAGTTTAAGGAATTTTTCTGGAATATATGCTGTTGACCACTGAGCAGTGTTCTAAAACGAGTCCTTAGAGAAGCCTGTGAGAATATCTGATAATAATCCATGTAACTGATTTATAAACCTTTGTCTAAAGGTTATATGTATCTTTTGTCTCATTTGATTTGAATGTAATGTAATAAATGCAGCATGAATTCCTGTGCTGTGAAATTACATGTTAATTTTGAGAGGAACCCAGAGTATTCATACAATCTTTCTTTTATCTACATTTTTTTCTTTTCTCAGGGAGGTAATTGATTCATTCATGCTGTTCTGTCAGACTTTACTTCTAATTTAGATTAGGATCTCTTAAGATTTTTATTTCATTTTTTAACATGTACTTTAATTCTTTTTTTCCTTCAAAAGTGCTTATTCACCATTTAGGGAGCTCAGTGCTTACTCATATTTTGTTGTTGTTAAAGATTTTAAATGAATTCTTTTGTGTACATATTTAATTTAACATTGCCTTTTGAAAATTGATGATTGTGTCTGGAGAACAAATGGCAAAGAACTTTCTGTGGGTTTAAATGGTGTCTGAAACTGGAGTTTTAGGGGTGGCTCAGTCGGTTAAGTGTCAGACTCTTGGTTTGGCTCAGGTCATGAATCATGAGTTGTTGAGATGGAGCCCTGCATGGGGCTGCGTGCTCAGCACGGTGTCTCCTTGAAGATTCTCTCCCTCTGCCCCTCCCCACACACCCACGTGTGCATTCTCTCTCTCTCTCAAATAAATTAATAAATCTTAAAAAAAAAAAAAAAAAAAACTGGAGTCTCTGCAGGTATTGGAAAAACTAGATCTCCAGTTATAAAAGAATGAAATTGAAGTTGGAATGTTACCTTACACAATATATACAAATTAACTCAAAATGGATTGAAGTCCTCATTGTAAAACCTAAAACTATAAAACTCTTAGAAGAAAACCTAGGGGAAAAAATATCATGTTATTTGATTTTGCAGGGATTTCTTGTATATGACACCAAAAACACAGGCAACAAAAGTAAAAATGGATAAATTGGACTACATCAAAATTTTAAACTTCTTTGCATCACTGGACACAGTCAACAGAGTGAAAAGGCAACCCATGGAATGGGAGAAAAATACTTGCAAATCATGTAACTGATAAAGAGTTAATATCCAAAATACATAAAGAACTCCTATATCTCTGGGCGCCTGGGTGGCTCAGTTGGTTAAGCGACTGCCTTCAGCTCAGGTCATGATCCCAGAGTCCTGGGATCGAGTCCCGCATCGGGCTCCCTGCTCTGAGGGGAGCCTGCTTCTCCCTCTCCCCCTCCCCCTACTGGTGTTCCCTCTCTCGCTGTGTCTCTCTCTGTCAAATAAATAAATAAAATCTTAAAAAAAAAAAAAAAAGAACTCCTATAACTCAGCAACAAAAAAACTAAGAAGCCAGTTAAAACTGTAAAATGGGGGCGCCTGGGTGGCTCAGTTGGTTAAGCGACTGCCTTCGGCTCAGGTCATGATCCCGGAGTCCCGGGATCGAGTCCCGCATCGGGCTCCCTGCTCAGCAAGGAGCCTGCTTCTTCCTCTGACCCTCCCCCCTCTCATGTACTCTCTCTCATTCTCGCTCTCTCAAATAAATAATCTTAAAAAAAAAAAAAATGTAAAATGGTACAGTTGCTATGAAAAACAATATGCTGATTCCTCAAAAGATCAAAATAGAATTGCCGTATATCCAATAATTCCACTTATGGATGTATACCCAAAATAATTCAAAGTAGGCTTTAAAGAGATATGTGTACACCCACATCCATAGCAATATTGATAATAGTCAAGAGGGGCCCATTGGCAGATGACCAGATAAACAGAATGTGGTATATATAAACAATGGAATATTATTTAGCCCCAAAAGGGAAGAAAATTCTGACTCATGTTAACAACATGGCTGAACCTTGAGGTTGTTATGCTAGGTATAAGCTAGTCACAAAAAGACAAATGCCCTATGCTTCCATTTACGTGTTGTGTCTAAAGTTGTCAATTCATAGAAATGGAAAGAATGGTCGTTGCCAGGGTCCGGGTTGAGGGGGAAATGGGGTGTTGTTTAACAGGATAGAGTTTCAGTCTTGAAGTGTGAAAAAGTTCTGAAGACTGATTAAACAACAGTGTGAATATCCCTGATATTTACTGAATTATACACTTAAAAGTGGCTAAGATGGAAACATGATTGTATTACAATTAAAAATTTTTGAATATACGTATATAAAAATACAGCAAACCAATAAATTATAATCCTCTTAAGAGAAATTATTGAAGAGCTTTTTATATTTTAATGGAAAAATTAAATCTAACATGAACATAATTTATAAAATGATCTCCACCCCCCCCCAAAATTGGTGTCTTTCAAATGGTCATAGATGACATTCTGAATAGCATTTTTTAATGTTTTCTTATTTCTTTAAAATAAAATAAGACTAATAACATTTACCTTTTTTTTTTTTTTTTAAAGATTTTCTTTATTTATTCATGAGAGATAGAGAGAGAGACAGAGGCAGAGGGAGAAGCAGGCTCCCCGCGGAGCAGGGAGCCCGATGCGGGACTCGATCCCAGGACCCTGGGATCATGACCTGCGCTGAAGGCAGACGCTTAACCGACTGAGCCACCCAGGCGTCCCACATTTACCTTATTTTTAAAATGAGGTGATTAGTATATGATCTGTTCTTTGAATGAATCTGAATCTATTAATGTCAGATTAAATTTATCAAATTAAAAGTCATTGTTTTGTTTTTTAATAGTCTAAATGTTTAAAGTCCAATGATATGGTAGTTAACTTTATTATTACTGTTTGTTTTTTTTTTTCAAAGATGTTATTTATTTGATAGAGTGCACACACCCGTGCGTGAGTTGGCGGAGGGACAGAGGAAGAGGGAGAATCCCAAGGAGACTCCGAGCTGAGCGTGAAGCCGATATGGGGCTCAGTCTCACAACACTGAGATCATGACCTGAGCTGAAATCAAGAGCTGGATGCTTAACTGGCTGAGCCACCCCGGGACCCCAATTATTACTGTTTTTTAAATGAAATTTTTATTTTTTTCATTTTTATTTTTTAGGATCTTAATTCATATCTTGAAGATAAAGTCTACCTTACAGGATATAACTTTACCTTAGCAGATATCCTATTGTACTATGGACTTCATCGCTTTATAGTGAGTATTTGAATAGTTGTTAGCTTTTTTCTCTGTAATGTTCAGAATGATTTTTTTATTTGTCTTGAATTTAAATCAAATTTGCATTTTCACCTTCTCAAATGAAAATGAATTATTTTTATACAGGGTACCGTATGCACATATTCCTTCCACATTTCCATCAAATATAGTAGCTTCCTGTTCCTTGACCTGTTTGCTTCCTGTTGTTGTTTCTACTCTTGTTCGCACCTACTTCTCTTGCCACCCTTTGAGCTTGATCGTCATCATCACCTGGCCCCTGTCATCAGCATCCCACTCTCCTTCTAACATCTTAATTGCATACTCCATATTCTATGAAACCTCTAATCCTTAGCTTGTAATCTCTTAACTCACTAATCCCATCATTGTCTGAAGCAGTTGGATTCCTTCCCATTTCCAAACCTATTTACTTTTTCCCTATCCAACCTAGATCCCCTTTTGTGTAACTTCCGATACTCTTCTTAGTATCTGCAGCTTCTTTGCTCCACTGCACATTCACCACCTTTGTCTGTAAATCCCATATCCTTGGTCAGTTCTCATAAATGCCTTCAATCCCATATCCAAGCTGAGCTCTGTTGGAGAAATCCCAAAGCTACAGATTGGTACCACTATAAATTTATACTATCCATTTTCAGCCAGGCTCTCCTATGGATCAGCTCTTTCATTCCTGCCAGGCATACTTCCAGACTTTTAGCACTTTCCTTAACCCCATCCTTTCCCTCCCCCTTTATCTTAGTCATTATCATGGAGTCATCCTCCCTCTCTCAGCTAGAAATTGGAGACTGTTCATTTGAATGCCTTCATCTTTCAGCCCACTGGATGCTTATCCTTAACCGTCTTGTCTCCTTTCACTGCCCTCTTACTTGAACTCACCCTCCTGCCCTGTTTCTGGATCTTGTCCCAAATTTTATATCCTTTCTTTCCCATATGTGCAATTTTCCCCTTTATCTGGTCAGTCTCTTTATTTTTTTTAAATTTATTTATAGAGAATTTATGAGAGAGAAGTGTGAGTTGGGGGAGGGGCAGAGGTGGAGGGAGAGAGAGCATCCTCAAGCAGACTCCCCGCTGAGTGTGGAGCCCAACTCGGGGCTCGATCCCAGGACCCTGAGATCAAGACCTGAAGTGAAATCAAGAGTCAGATGCCCAATCAACCAAGCCGAGCCACCCAAGTGCCCCCTGGTCAGTCTCTTTAAATTGTATCCCATCTTAAATTTATTTACAGTTAAATGGCACTCACTATGTTCTCCATGCTTCATAAATGTTAACTCATTTAATCCTTAAAACAGCCCTGTAAGGTAAGTATTATTATTATCATCCACATTTTACAGATAAAGTAAGAGAGGCACAGAGAGGTCAGATATCTTCTTTGAGATCACCCAGCTTTTCCCCTGTGGAAAAAAATAACCCATAGATTTTTCAGTATTCCGCGCCTCATGCATCCAATTAATCAGGTACTATTGTTTCCACCTCTTGGATGCCTCTCGCATGTGTCTTCCTGTGATCCTGGGTGACATTGCCCTAGTTCCAGAATTCATTATCTTCTGTCAGGGCTATCAAAATGGCCTCCTGCCACCAGTTTCATCTCATACCGTCCATCTTCATGGCCACTGGAGCGATTTTTCTCATGAATGTGTCTTTCTCAAAATAAGTAGTTCCTCACTGCCTGGGCTGGGAGCCCCTTCTTCATGTTGACCCTGCCTCCCCTGCCAGCCTCATCATCCTTGTTCGCCCCACACTCCCCTCTCTCAGCCTTAGCATACTCCCTGGTCTCTCCTCCTGTGCTCCCTCTGCTCAAGGTCCTCGTACTGCTCTTCTCTTTGGCTCCCTGGGCCCAGCCCTTTTCTCCCTCCCAAACTGGTTCACATTTCAGCAAGTGTCACTCAGCTGCAGCACTGACCTCCTGGTGAAGCCCTCTCAGGCTCCTGAAGCATACTGAAGAGCCCTTTCCTCTGTTCTCTGTGCCTCACAGCCTCCCTCAGCTTCGGTTTGTTTCACTTTCTACTGTAACTCTTCTTGGAAAATTTCTCTTTTAAATCGTAAACTGTTTGAGCCAGAGACTGCAGCAACTCATATTTGTAACACTACCGTCTCACGTAATTCCTCCCACATGCAAATAGTCTGCATTCCCCTCCATAAACATTGAATAACATAACGGATTCCTCTAGATTTTTCAGTTTTATGTATATTTTCTCTTTGTACCTCATAACTTGGAAGGAGATGGTATTATCCTCCTATCATAGAGAAGGAAGCTAGGGCTTGGAACACCAGGTGCTTTGTGCAAAGACACAGCCTGGGTTTTGGAGGGGCCGAGACGAACTTCGCCTTCTGCTGCAAGCGTCGCAGTGTATGGGGACACCCTTCATACACCGTCAAATAACATAATGTATGACCAAAAAAAAAAACCCATAATGTATGACAGTTTTTCTTCATCCCCCCTCAAGCTCTAATTCCTCAGTGGATTTACTCGACTTATTAAGCATTGTTTCTCTAAAATCCCTAAAGTTTTGTGCTGAGTTCTATAACATCATCACTGTAACCACCTAGTATGATCCTTCGCTCAGCCTACTAGTCTCTATTATTACAACTATACATATTGAGTTCATTATATGTGTCTATAATACTATCCTTGAGAGACATAAAAAATATAAAACCCTGTTTTCAACTGTTGATCTCTTAGAAGAGATAAGACTGTTTCACATGAAAAGAATTGAATAAGGCAAAGTGCTAATTTCTCGTCAGAATATTACAGAAAAGTTAAAGAGGCAAGTAGAACAAAGTAAAATGTAGAATCATGAAATTGTCAGAAAAATATCTGCAGGATTCGGATGCCTTTGGCTATTTAAGGGAATTTGTGTTGTTTTAGAAAGCTTAGTGATAAGTTTGAATATAAATCTTGCATGTGAGTAGGATGACCATCTGTTTTCTCATCCAAAACACTTTTGACAGTGAAAGGAGGGCTATTAATAATTATTGGTACAACAAGAATAAATTAGGACAAATGTTCCTTGTATTTTGAAGAGATAAGACTCAATTTTAAGCAAAATAAGGGGATTGAGGAGGATCATGTCCTATTTCTCTTTGTACCCCTTCCAGCTTCTTAGCACAATGCATCATACAACTAGATGCTTATTGAGATCAGCAATGCTTAGCAATCTCTTCCTCTTTGTATTTCCTATTTTAGGTTGTATATCTTTATAGTGTAATCTTTAGTTTTATGCTTCAATATGATTAACTCTAAAACCTTATTTGAATGTGAAGACAGTTTAAGTAGAGCTGAAATAATTTGATCTATTCCATTCTAGATTCAAAATATTTTAGTAACTTTTTGAATGTAGAATGGTGACGTGGCATGGTATACCTCATTTCAAAATACAAAAGCCTCTAGCTAAAGAGAGTTTGCTGTTATGGTATCTACCTATCTTTATCCCAGTGACAAATCTACAGTCTTTCAGCTAGGAGGTGTCCATAACTTGACTTGAGAGTGAGTCCACTGTTAAGAGCATGGCTACTTTCTGGAGGAGCATAAGAACAATTTATATCTAACAACAACAGCGCCCTTGTAGACATTTTTTTTTTTTTTAAGATTTTTTATTTATTTATTTGAGAGAGAGAATGAGAGAGAGAGCACATGAGGGGGGGAGGGTCAGAGGGAGAAGCAGACTCCCCGCCGAGCAGGGAGCCCGATGCGGGACTTGATCCAGGGACTCCGGGATCATGACCTGAGCTGAAGGCAGTCGCTTAACCAACTGAGCCACCCAGGCGCCCTTGTAGACATTTTTAAAACATTTAAATGTGGCATTACTTAATTTTAAAGCTTAATATTAGGAGAAATGTCATCTCTAATTCTATGTGTGATGCTGTGAGCAGGCTAGTGAAGGCCTGTCCGGACCATCACTTGGCTAGTGAAGGCCTGTCTTCTTGTGGCAGCGACTCTCATTAAGAAGGACAGCATTTCTCCCATGTAATAAAGTCTAACTCTTGCAAACCAAGTGTGTATTTACGTTTTTCTCTCTCCTGGCTTATGCAGGTCATGTGGTAGGGAAAGGAAATACTCAGAAGGAGGGAGCTTGTCTGGAATTTCTTGGCTAGCAGAGTGAACAAGGTCATAATTCTAATAAAGCGAAATCGTGATAGCACAAGCTGCATAGTTATTTAATTATGAATCCAGGTGTCCTGGAGGGCGTTGGGTTTTCAGGCAGGTTAGAAGTGTTCTGTTCAGTTCAGCATGTTAAAACTCGGGTTACATTAACAATATTTAATGATATGTGCCCATTTATATTTCCTGTTTTGAAATGTATGTCCTCTTTACATGTAGTGACTAGGATATTATGATGAAGGATATTATGCTTATCTTTTTCAAAACAAAAGTGAGTAGAATGATATGTAAATCATTCAGCTCACCATCCCTTTGGGTTCGTGAAATGAGTCCATAACCAAAGCATCTCTCCCACCCTGGTCCATGTGCAGGCAAAGTACATCAGAGAAATAAACACCTTCTCAAGGAACTCCTCACCAACTCAAACCTCTACTGTGATAGAATTGCACAGTGGTGTTAAATGACATCATCCCTCTTGAGTTAGGTGTAAATATATCCAGATGAGAAAAAGGTGATTATTCAGTATTAAATTCAGGCAGAATCGCTGTAAAGCTCAGATTGGCTACCTGCTCATGTTCATCAGACAGTTTCTTGTGCTTGTTTGCTTTGGCAGTATATTTATTTTTGCCCTCATGCATTCCTTCATTTATTTGTTCCCATTATTAAATACTTAATATGTAATCAGCACAGGGTACAAAACAGCAGTCAGGGAACCTTCAAGTCATCAGATAATCCCACAGTATTTTGTTTCATTGTGAGCCCAATTTTAGTTGTGGCTAAGTTACTCTAATTTTAAGATCTGGTCTATCTTAATTCCTTTGAGGAATATTACGTTGTTCTTCCTTTGTGAAACTGCCAGTTAGCGTGGCTGTTTATTATCATACCAGTGATTCTTTGCTTTCTTAAAGTGATTTCACTCATAGATAGCAGTCCCTGTGAACACACTGTTACTCAAGATTATTGAAATCCTTTGTAGCATTATGAGCTGCTTGACTATGAGATTGTTATCAACTAAAATACATTTGTTTTGAAGTTAGGAGCACCAGTGGAGGTATGTCGTTCTTTTGGAAAGAAAGGAAAAGTACAAGAAACGGCTACAGTGCAGTCCAGCAGCACCAGCCATAAAGAATGTCCCGAAGGTAGCAAACCAGCCTCTCACCCCGATCTGGAATGGGTCACTTAAAGTGGTGCTCACATGTCTCCGTGGGAAATTAGTGGCTAAGAATATTATCTCTTTGGCTTTGAAGGTTCAGACTAGGTATAGAGAGCCAATATAAATAAAAAGGGATGATTAGGTAGAAAGAGCCAAGAATCATGGCTGTAGACACAGTGGCATGTGGGCCAGTAAGAAACAGGAAGTGGTGACTGGAAAGTCGCATTGTGTTTCCTGTTGTAAGAAAGGAAAAGAAACTAGCCGACTAGAGAGGGATGCTGGAAGACCAATGTTGTATGTGAAAGGACCTAGGGGGTCCCATCTAAAAAGTTCTAAAAAATTCTAAGGTTTTTTTTTGGGGGGGGAGGGGCCTGTTTTGTGTTTATTTACAGTAAATTCAGAAATAAAATGCCTACCAAAAATACAGCAGAGCTGACAAATTGAGATCAGTCATAATTTTCTCAGATTCATGGGACAAGCTCCAAAATTTAAACTAAAAGGAGGGTCAGTGGTAACCAGCACCTTTTGGAAAGGTTCTTTTGTATTTCTGGCAAAATTTTCTGAGGGAAAATGAACAGATTTACATTCTCTGAAGTAGGTCATCTCGTTAAAAATTACTGGAATAAATTGGAAATGTTAGAAGAAGCTTTAGAAGCTCTTGGAATAAAAATTATTTTGCACCAGGGCTCCTGGGTGGCTCAGTTAGTTAAGCATCCAACTCTTGCTTTCGGCTCAGGTCATGATCTTAGGGTCGTGGGAGCGAGCTCTGCATCCAGCTCCGTGCTCAGTGGGGAGTCTGCTGGAGAGTCTGTCTTTCTTCCTCTCCCTCCCACTCACTTGCTCTCTCTCTAAAATAAATAAATAAACCTTAAAAAAATGTATTTTGTACCCCCCAAAAAAAACAAAAAATAAAAAATAAGTTCCTTTGTGCCTTGAGTCTATTCATAATCCTTACACTAGAGACTCAATGTGCAATTTTTAAGTTGGAGAATATCGATTTTGCTGTGTGTTGTGTCTTGTTTTGCCATTTTAAATAATAGGCCATACTAGTAGCAGCATTAACCAGCCTTCTGCAGTAGCAAATACTCCTCTGAAATGTAAATAGTAAACAGACACTGCCCTTTGTGTTTCAGAGTCTGAGTGAACAACTTGCACATAGATCAAACAAGCATTAGTACTGTATTGTTTGGAAATGCTTTCTTCTCAGTGTGTTTTAATTCATTCAGAAAAATAACATTTCACCAAGAGGCTGAGTGGAGACTTTTCAATGGAAGAGTTGTGAAAAGTAAATTGTAGAAGGTGGTCAGATTTGAATCCTGTATTTCAGCAACTGACATGAAATCAAGTCGGAGTAAAACTTGTTCGCTTTAGCTATCGGGAGAGGTTGCTGAAGTTGATTTCGAATGTATGTATGTATGTATGTACATATGTATGTGTGTATGAATGAAGAAAACTCACCCCCGATTTCCTGTTAGATTTGTAGCTGTGTATACTAGTGGTTGAGCTGGTGAAGTTCACATATGGGAAAGATTTAGAAAAAGAATGAAGTGTCAGCTCTTTTACAAAATGTGTTTTACCTTTTGAATAAACTGATACTCAGTTTATTCTGTAGTGGTTGTTTATTTGCCTCCTGTGTACAGACCAGATAGTTAGGAATAAGATAATTCTTCATATGTGAAGCCATGAATTCTCTTTTAATAAAAAGTAACTTTTATATTAAAAAAAGACATTCTTGGTCAGTTTTCTTGACTACTGTGTTAATTTTCTATCTCTATTAACGATATTGTAGGTGAAATAGTTACAGTAACGTATTTCTGATAACTAGATGCAACCTTACACCGCCTTAAACAAGATGAGTATATTTTTATAATTTGTGTAGCAGCTTATAAGTAAGGACCTAAACCTGAAACTTAAATTTTTTTATGTAGCAGAAGCAGGAGATTTTCACTGCTAATAATTTTTTTTTTCACTGCTAATAATTTAAGTAAACTGAGCCTACAGAGTTGGACATCTGAGGCCACCAAAGACAATGTTAATACATTGTTGATAAAATAGTATCTTCATGTCTAAGGTAAAAAGGAAAGCAGGATGATTGTATAAATTTTTCTTTATAAATTGCCTTATAGTAAATATGAAATGGGAATATGAGTTCAGTTAAACATTTATTGAGAAAATACTACATATCTACCTTTTAATTTTATTAATACTATTTTGTATTCTGCAATACATTTTGCCTACTAGAGTGATTTGACCTTCAGTGTTGTTGACCCAGTAACGTAGCAGAGTCTTTGCCTGTAGACACAAGTATATGCCAAATTCTGAACAGCCACAGGACATCTGTTTCGCTAGACCTGCCTTCCAACAAGCAGACTGCTAATGGATGTGAACCACAGGAGGGGTTTTTTTTTTCCCTTGTGTAAATATTCCAGTCAGTTTTACAGAGACTTGTAGTATCTGTTGAATAAATGTTGATTTAAGAAGAGGAAAAGGAGCTTCCTACTCTACTCTTAAACATGGGTCATAGCTGTTAGTTACTGCCCCGCTGGCGCTCGCTTTACCTGACAGCTCTTAATCATTCCAGTCCAAGATTTGTCTCAGAGAAAAGTCTCTGAGTCACCTACTTTGGAATTGGAGCCCAGTGAAATGATCGGCACCAACTGTTTTCATTGTGTCTTTCTCTAACCAAATCTCTGGGCATTCTTGAGCTTGACAGGAAATTGTGTGGCCTGCTACCTCCACTGGAGAGAGAGTTCAGCTTTGTAGCAAAGCGAATTGAGAAGGTCTGTTCATCTGAGGCATATGCCACTGGAAATAGCCCTTCCTTCTTGTATTAGGCAATAATCACTTGTAATTAAGTGGGTCATCATCTTCTTGAGTACAGTTTTTCCCCAGAGCTTAAGAGGAAGGAAGTAATATACATAGAGAGAAAGGAAGTATATATATATATTCGGGTTTACATGGTATTCCCTTGTTAAGCATGTTAGGTCCTAATAAACCTTGCTTTTAGATTTGCTAAAAAATATTGTAGAGAGAACCAGTGTCTTAGCCTTTTGGAAGCTCTTCTCTTCCTTTCTCCTATCTTCCTTTCCAAAAAGTAAAAAACAAACTCTTTCTGTTAGGAGTTAGGTGGTCAGAGCCAGGGTCCCCAACAAGAAAGTATGGAGTCAGAACAGCTAAGATAAAACAGCGCTAACATCCTGTTTTGCAGCTTAGGACCGCACCGACATTCTGCTTTGCAGCCTTTGCAGAAATGACTTCTGCAAAATGTCCTAAAATAAGACAGTTAACCACAAAAGCATTTGTCAATATCACAGGCAAGGGACAGGTAAGACCTAAGCCCCCAGATGTCAGCAAAAAAAAGACCATCAACACGTGGACACTAACCTAATAGATATGTGACCAAAGCTCTGATGGGCACAACTCAGCACACCCTGATTGCTTAAGAAAGTTCCGCAGAAGAGCTCAGTAAAAACCCCTAAACTTAGAAACTCTGAGGGCGACCCACTCGGGCCCGCCTCCCTCTCTGGGAACTTTATACTCTTGCTCAATAAACTTTGCTGCCCACCATTCTTCGTCTGGTCCACTCTTCATTCTTCAAAGCAGCGTGACCAAGAACCGGGGCACTAAGGGGACACAAATCCTGTAACATTTGGATCTCCAGGTGCTGGGTTAATGTAATTCTTGCATTTGTTGAAAATTTGAGATTTCCCTAGAAAGCATGTCTGGTGTTGAACTGAACATAAAATCATCAAACAAATGGCTCTTCTAAGTGGCTGAAACTTTTTACTCCTATCTAAATGTATTGGCTTTTGAGAACTGGAGTTTTTCTCCGAGTTTTTTATCTTCTACACAAATGGTATTGATAATTGTTCTTATGCAATGTCTGTGTTGTGTGTGTTTTTAATCTCTATTTAGGTTGACCTGACAGTTCAAGAAAAGGAGAAATATCTTAATGTGTCTCGCTGGTTTTGTCACATTCAGCATTATCCAGGGATCAGGCAACATCTGTCCATTGTTGTCTTCATCAAGAACAGACTATATACTAATTCCCACTAGGAGCTATCCATGACATACAGAAGAATGATCACAAATATTTTAAATGGAAAGTATATTCTGGACCAGAGAAATAACGTAAATGGATACACAGTCATTCTTTATTTGCTGAAGTTGGAATAAACTTATGTCTGAATGTTTATTTGTTCTTCAGTTGAAATTTTGCAGCTTTTATATAAAAATTCAACTGTCAAAACTTGAGATCAAGTTATAAATTAACCTTTTTTTCATAGATGAAATTTATTTTAGTAAAACTTGCAAATCAGTGGCTTAATCTTAAGGGGAAAAAAATAGTCCTTTCAGTGGTGACATAACTTGGCTATTTATCGACCTCCGTCTCATATTTTACAATTCATTTCCCCCTTATGGATATTTACAGTAATTTGTTTAATAACTATAATAAATTGTGCCAAGTATACAGAAAGGGAAGACAGATGGATTTGTTTTCAAATATTTATGTGAGCCAGTAAATGTGGTTGAAAAAATCTTTTTTGTTTGTTTCTTTCTTTCCTGTAGTCAGTATTCATTGAGGTGAAACTAACTACTGAACTGCCTTGGAGGGAGCTGGAATAAGATACATTCAGTGGAGCTAATGGTTCTTTTGTTGTGTTGGGTTTATTGGAATATGCAGTGGCTAAAAACAAGATGGGAAATTCCTGCTATTCCACTAACTTTAGACTTGACAACTACTAGATTTTTCTAAACTAAAAGCCAACTCAGGGCTGCTGCTGAAGCCCTCTAAAGAACAAGGACACGTGTTATTAACAAATCTATACATTTTATAACTTACTGGCTGAGTAAATAATTATTGAGAGCTAAAGAACTTTTATTTCCAAATAATAAGAAAAATAGAGCTTTTTAGGGGCACTTGGGTGGCCTAAGCATTGGATAAAACAAATGAGTACATACTTCAAGAATAAATAACTTACACACTTTAAATGGCTAAACTGTGGGGGGCACCTGGGTGGCTCAGATGGTTAAGCGTCTGCCTTCGGCTCAGGTCATGATCCCAGGGTCCTGGGATCGAGTCCCGCATCGGGCTCTCTGCTCCTTGGGAGCCTGCTTCTCCCTCTGCCTCTTTCTCTGTCTCTCATGAATAAATAAAAATGGCTAAACTGTGATATGTGAATTACAGCTAGGTAAGGCTTTTTTTTTTTTTTTTTAAGGAATGGAATCCATCAGCCTCACCATATATTAGGAGACCTTGAAGAGTTCAGTGCACATGAAATCCCTCTTACGAAATAGAGATAAAAATTTCTGATCTCATGATTTAATTCGCAATGAGAACGTATAAAAATTACTTAGTGTGATGCCTAGCCCACAGAAAGTGATCGATACTGCTATGGAAGATCGTAAAATCATAACCCATAATTTTATAAACTCAAATGCTTGAACTAATTCTTTTTTTTTTTTAAAGATTTTATTTATTTATTTGACAGAGAGAGACACAGAGAGAGAGGGAACACAAGCAGGGGGAGTGGGAGAGGGAGAAGCAGGCTTCCCGCAGAGCAGGCAGCCCGATGCGGGGCTTGATCCCAGGACCCTGGGATCGTGACCTGAGTCGAAGGCAGATGCTTAACGACCGAGCCACCCAGGCGCCCCCTTAAACTAATTCTTAAGTCCCCTTCTGCTGCCCCTGAGGTGCCTGTGCAGCATGAGCCCATCTGAGATAACACAGGTGGGCAGAACATCTCGTGATTTTGGTAAAACACGCATTTGTCTTATGACTTACCAATTTAAAAATCTCTGATCCTCTCATCTTTCAAGCTGTTCAAAAAAAGGGACCGTTCTATTCATTGTTTTGTTTTGTTTTCTAAAAGAACAGTGAGACAACTCTTAAAAAAAAAGTGGGGCAATCTTTGTGCATGCTATTTCTTCTGAAAAGTGAATGCCCCTTTAAAACCATTTTCTTTCTGTGATTCTCAGAAGTCTGCATCACTGATCATTCAATAATCCCTCAAATATTTATTTAGAACCTACTATGTATCAGAAACTGCTTGTCCCTGAGGATGACAGTGACATTACTGCTCACATTTACAATCTAATGGTCTGTGACCAAATTTCTGAAACAACACGTAAAGTTTGGGAGGCTGCCGCCACTCAGCATTGCTTGAAAGTAAGTAGAAGCAATCAGATACCATTTACTGAATGCCTGCTCTGTTGCAGGCTCTGTACCAGGCACTACACATTCAAGTTATCTCACGTTAATTGAGGAGTTAGGATGAGGGCATAGACCAACCCACACGCTAACCAACACCTCAGTTAAACCATGGCTGGAGTGAGTGGGAATTGGACAATTTCAGAGGCAGAGGACATAATCTGTCACCATATTATACACAGGGGTTGATTTGACTGCCCTGAGTAGATACATGGCCCTGTCTCCTTATTCCACATGCAACTTTAAGAACAGATAAAAAATTTCAAATAGAGAAGGAACATTTCATCAGTCCAGAATCCATGAAATTTTCATTCATTGAAATGAACACTAGTTTTAAAACAAAAGAGAAATAACAGGGCTGGAGGCAATATCAAAAGGTCATTTGCCTTTAGACACAGTTCTATCCAAAGGATAAGATGTCATGAAGTATTTTATGAAGTTGTGTGGTTTTAAACCTCAAGTAGCTGCTGTTGCAATATGGTAGGAAAAGTAACATAGCTTCGAGAATGACATAATCACCTGTCTTTCTGGTTAAAACTCCACTCCCTCCCCATCCAGACTCAGCAATAAGATTATTGGACTGAGGTTTTTAACAGATATGTGGGCGTTCTCATTTTTACTTACTCCCTGTTAAACATAGGTCCTCCATTGGCTCCACCCAATTAAATCTGAAGCCATAGGTAAGCATAGTCAGTGATAAGCACATAAGGTCTCCTGCAAGGATGAAGGCAGGAAGGTTGGAGCAAAATGAATGGGAGGTTCACCTACTGCAGGGCATCACATGAGAGCCCTGCTGAAAGTCCTTCCAGAAAAACCTCAGGATGTGTTGATAAAAATTTAAGCAGATCTATTGTTGGGAAAGAACGGAACTCTATTATAATCAGGTACAGATACATCACACTGGAAGATCAAATACGCAACTATTTGACAAGAAGTCAAATTAGAATTATTGTGAAGTATAGCTTTTTCATTTATATATATTTTTTCATTTGACTTCATTCCTTTAAAAAAAAAAAAGTCAGATGTTACATGAACTTTAATATTAATCTAGCTTTGGCAGAGATGTGGTGGTTTAATGGATTAGAGCATTTAGCTTTTTACCCCAGAGAGCAATATTTCTTCTTTTTCTCCATAATTAGATAATCTGCTCCTACCCATTACCAGGGCACTAAATTGCAAATTCTCCATACACCTGAGCAGGCTGCTACATATATGGCCATCTTAATTTTAGTCTTGATTTATTGAAGCTGAATTACATTCCTAACTTCCTGGAGCTCTGGGTGAATTTTATTGCAAAAGCGATGGGGAGAAAGTTACCATCATATATCTCTCTTGCTGGGCAGAGCTTTTAAATACACAAGGGGCTCTATATCCCACTGCTCCATGTCTTGTATGCTGAATTTATAACACTTTGAAGCCCAGCTCTAGGGTTACATACAGGCATATCAGAGACGAGATGGGGAATTTGATTTTGCAATAATGATTACTTGTTGCTGGAGCCCACATTCCTGCAGGCTCTGCCTTTATTCCCAATACCGCTGGTGAATAAAACTAATTCCAACTGCTACCTAATCTAGCAAAACTCATCTTTCACTTACGAGAGAGGCCCAAAGAAGGTAGACAGGAAGTCAGGAGAATTTGAGATCTTGGCTATTTTTGCTATTCTGTCTCAAGGATTTCTGCTTCCATTATCGTGATTCCTTTAGGAACATTTTAATCTTTGTGGGGAGGATGAAAGCTCTGCATCTTTTCCAGCCTGGTGAGTTAATGTGATGGCTCATGCATGCTGTCTCTTCCACTTCAAAGAGCCTGGGTCCCTAGGGCTGGCCAATTGTATTATGGATCCTGCAGATTTGGCTTGCCATTCCTGCTGAGTGTCATCTGTCCTAACGGTCTAGCGGTGGATACTTCTTGTCCCCCCTAACATCATCTGCTTGAGAAATTTGTGCCTGGCAGGCCTGTCCGTCCAAGTTAAGCTTGAAATACAGTAGCCACACAACTAATTTGACAAGGCATAGCTCTGAACAACAAGGCCAGAGGCTTGCTTTGACCAAGACCACAAACTTCCAGTCATCGGATTACCAATTCCAAAGTTTCTTTGGTGCAGTCCATGAACCAGTCTGTTCACGTAATATAGTCCCTTACTGTCTCATTGTTCCTGACCTTCTGCAACACACACACCCTTATCTTAAAGTCACTTTAGAGATTTTTAACCCTCTGGCTGGCCTCATCAGCTCTGCAGTTTCTGACTGCTTTCAGCATTTAACTTGAGCCCTGTTCACTTGGATAAAAGAACTCTAGAGTTGACTATCATTGTCAGAAGTTTGGGGAATGCGTAACGGATATCACGCTAAAGTAGGGGTTCTCAGACTTTAGCGTGCGTGGTAAATCACCTAGCACCTCTCAAAACACACGTTGCTAGGCTCCAATCTGAGTTTATGTGATTTGAGAGGTCCAGTGTGGTGACCATACCACGAGGACCATTGTAGTACACCTGTCCAAAGCTGGGGTGACAGTCAGGCATAGAGTAGCTGTATCACTCAACAGCTGGTACTTCTGCGACATTTTCTGAAGGTCTGACCAGTGGGGGGATGGAGCTCTCTACGTTTTGACTAGTCAGCCCCATCACAGGAGCACAGATCCTCTTTGTGGTGGCCCTGCAGTTGGGTGCCTCATGTTCTCCCAAGTGGTGTAACTACAACAGAAGCATTTGCAGGGGTAAGAAGCAGGATTGAGGACAGGACTGTTGAGTGGTTGCCACCTGGAAGACAGCTGATCTCAGAGCACAACATGCTACTTCCACCAAAATCTCAAGTCTAGTGTGCCCGGCGCATTCCCGAAACTTCATGAGATGAATATGTAGTAATATTTACCATCTAACCCCCAAAGACCCTCTAGTCTTTTTCTCTCCTTTGCTTTCGTTAGTTTCTTCCATTTTTAATTTTTTTCATCTGCTTCAAAAATAGGTTAGACAAAAGGGGATAAACAGTAATGTCAACAGAAAATGTGCCAGAGGAAATCTCAGGAAGCAGATATGATAAAAAGCAAAATAAATTTAGGAAGTCCCTTCCCCCAGTTATGCTTATCCTTGATGAGCTTATACCAAGGAATGAATTTCAATTTTGTTCTCAGTATGTATATAATTAAGTGCTCATTTTATTTCTATTTTCTAATTTTCATAAGCTTCAATATGGTTGTAGCAGCTATTACCCTGAAGTCAGAACTTTATTCCTATTAAATTAATATTATTTCCATGATTTAGAAGTCTTAACTCTCAAAAAGCACAATAATTGGAAAAATCCCTTTACAATTCCATGGTTGAAAAATGTCTGATATTGAGTCTCTGGAAAATGATCTTGTAGGTATAATATGGTGAGAACAGCTATCCTTAAAACACAGAAGTAGTTAGTGTATGATTCCATGCATGTAATAACTTTTTTAAAACACCGAATTTTAGAAATGGAGGATATATTATAGGTTGCCACGGTTTGGGATGGGGACAGAGAGGAAAGTAGGTGTGATTACGAAAAGGCACCCGGGGGATCGTTATGGCCCTGAAACTGTTCAATATGTTGACTGTGATGATGGATACATGAACCTACAACCTAAAATTGTACAGAGCCAGGGACGTCAGAGTGGCTCAGTCCATTGAACATCTGACTCTTGGTTTCAGCTCAGGTCAGGGGGTCATGGTCTCAGGGTGGTGAGATTGAGTCCCACATGGGGCTCTGCGCTCAGCAGGGAGTCTGCTTGGGATTCTCTCCCTCTCCCTCTCCCCCACCCCGCCGTTAATATATAAATAAATATTTAAAGAATTGTGTAGAGCCAAACACACACACACACACACACAACCCATGAATACAAGTAAAATGGGAAAGGTGGGATAAGATCCATGGATTGTATTGATGTCAATATCCTGGTTGTGATATTAACAGTTGCAAAATGTTACCATTGGAGGAAAAGGAGGTGAAATGTAAAGGAAGCTATTATTTCTTGCAACTGTGTGAGAATCCGTAATTATCTCAAAGTTTAATTTAAGAACACAGAAAAACCTTGTGGATCCAGACAACAAGAGATGACACAAGACCTTTGGCAAGATGGCATAGAGTCCAAGGACATGCGCACAGAAGCCCTAATCCTCGCTGAAGTGCATCGTGCAACAGCACTGCTCATGTGACTCTTTTCTGACTTTTTGCTGCGGACCTAAGCATTCCAGACAACAGTATAACTCAGTGATATACAGAACAGAACAATCAAACAGCTAGAACATTTATCTGCAGACTCTAAGCAACAGAATTGCAGAAAAGTAATTGTATAGTGATTTAATACTGTTCCCTCCAGTAGACTGTACACTCATTGAGAGAAGGAAAAGGCTGAGCAGTCTTGCTCACCCCTGTATCTCAGCTCCTAGCACTGCACTTGGTACATAGAAAGTGCTCACTACACACTTGTTAAATGTGTTTGAATGAAAAAAATTTACAGCCCACATGTCCTTTTAGAGGTAGAATGGCTTCTCTCTTCCCTCCTTCCCAATCTCCCTCCCTCACTCTCTCCTCACCCACCATCTACAGGTAAACACACGCACAGGGACCAAGATAGTTTCTGCTACTTGCAAGTTGGACAGTCATTTAACCTCTCTATGCCTCAGCCTCCTCATCTGTAAAATGAGGATAATAATAACAATAATACCTACTTCAAAGGACTGACATGAGGGTTAAATGAATTAATATGTGTGAGCACTTACGACATTATCTGGCATATCATGGGTGCCGTGTAGGTGTTTGTTCAGTTGCAACACAATTCTGACACTGATTACAGGAATTAGCTTAGACCCCACCCACAGGTAACAGACACCATTCTCTACAAGACTGCCCTCACGTTAGACACCAGGCACAAGCTCCAGGTTCCTAAGACACCCGTGTTTCTGACCAGCTGTCTACAAATTTTGGAGGTTCCCACTCTACCTCCTCGGGTTCAGTAATTCATTAGAATGGTTCATAGAACTCAGGGAAGTACTGTACTTAGGATTATAGTTCTATTGTAAGGGATACAAATCAGGACCAGCCAAATAAGTACATGCATGGGGTGAGCTCTGGAAACACGAATCTTCTGTATCCTCAGTACGCCCCATCCTCTAGATACATCAGTGGGAGATTACCAACTGGGAAGCTCACTGGAGCTTCTGTGTCCAGGAGGTTTTATTGGGGTTTTACTACTTAGGCATGGATGCTTGAATTATTGGCCACGTGACTGAACTCAGTCCCCAATCCCCCTCCGCTCCCCAGAAGTCAGTGTTATTTCATGGCTCAAAGCCCCAACCCTCTAATCACACGTTGGTCTTCAAGCATGGCCAGCTCCCATCCTGAAACCATCCAAGGGCCCTTGGGAGTGACCTCGTTAGCATAAACTCAGGCCACCACGAATAACAAAGACATTGCTATCACTTGAGATATTCCAAAGATTTAGAGGTTATCTCCAAGGAACCAGGAACAAAGATCAGCCCAATTCTTTATTATACAACATAAATAAAGTTTACTGAATTGAATAGGCAGAAAGGGCAAGAAAAGCATTCCAGGAAGGGAGTGTCTAAAGAGAAGCAGCAGAAATATGCCCGGCACAGTCATGGCACAGTGGAAAGACCCCGCCTAGCTGACTGGGCTTTGCTACGTTGAATTGCACCAGCCTTGTAGTCTAAAGACCAGAGTTCTGACGAAGGTTCTGCTATTTGATAGCTATGAGCCATCTCATGGGAGAATAGGGATCATTGTAACCCATCGTAAATCCTACCTAGGAGAGATGGGCATAACTGAAACACACACCATTTAGTGAACTTATTTATTTACTATTTCTCACCATGTATTATTTCCCCCCACAAAATTCATTATTTCTCACAATACTGTGGTTGGAGTGTTATGGAACCTGGATTGCATCACCCCAGGGAAGAACCAAGCAGCACTCAGAGATCTTGGAGGATAGGAGGTTTATTTAACGCCAGCAGGCTCAGAGGAGAGTGGTCTCCAAAGGTCTGAGCCGTGAGCACAAAGCGGGTAATTTATACACTTCTACTTCCGCATACTAGGCACTCTTGGCACGTGTGGGAAGCTGGGCAGGGAGAAGAACCCAGAAGAGGCCCGGGGCAAGGGCTGGGACTCCCTTGATGGGTCGGTCGGCCATCTTAGGACACAGATTTCCCTTATCAGGAGTAGGCAGTTTTCTGGCTTGTGTGGCGTTATTAGCTCCACTGCAGTTCATGAGATTGCGTTCAAAAAGGTTGATGGCTGGGATGAAAAGAGCCGAGAATGGCTCCCTCACACATCTGTGGCCTCATGCTGACTGCTTGCTGGCTCGTTCTCACCCATATAGCCTCTCTCTACATGTGATGTCTCATCTTCCAGTGCTTCTCCACACGATGACCTTCCTACAGCAGGACAGCCTGGACTTCCTGACAAGAGAGCAAAAGTAGAAACCACCAGGTGTCTCAAGGCCCAACACCAGCCCAACATTTTTCCCACCATGTTCTATCTATCCAAGCAAGTCACAAAGCTGCCAGTTTTGAGGGGAGGGGAGACCAACTCCACCTGAGCAGCATGTTGCATGTGTACACACGGAGGGAAGGAATCACTGCAGTCACCTTTGGATACTCTAGCATGTTCTCTGACCCTCAGTTTACTCATCAAAGTGGGTATTTTAATAGCTACCTCAACTAGATTCATGAGAAGATCAAGAGACATGTCATATGATATTTGATAGCATTTTATAAATTGTAAAGTGCTAAAAAAAAAAGTACAAGATATTTTAGTGGTGGGTGGGATAAATGTGGATTAGAAGAACGAGAACAGATTTTACAGGGCTTTAAAAGGAGAGGGAGGAGGTTATAGTAGTCATAATAACATTTATTGAGCATTTGCTATGCGCCAAGAATTGTACTAAGTGCTTTATGGGTATTATCTTCTTTAATCATCACAACCTTATAAATGGATATTTTATTGCCATTTTACAGCAAAGGAACTGAAGGCAAGAGGCAGAGCCAGAATTTCAACCCAGTTCTGTCTGGTTCTGAAGTCTTTACTACTGCACCAAAATTCTTCTATCACTTATAGTCAATTAACAGTTGGGTAAGGGGAGGTAGCTGCTACCCCACAACTACTAAAACAGAATTTTTGAATGTGGAACCCGGAATCTGCATACTTAACAGCCACATCAATGTGGAAGAAGCATTAACCTCACTGTGCCATAGGGAGCCTTTTCAGATTTTTCAGTATTTCAAAGACACTGAGAAGACAAGCTGAAAGGAAATTTAGGCTTGCAGGTGCAGAAGAAAACTTGAAAAAGAAAAGTATTTAGAAGTGGGGAGAATAATGAAGGGCTTTAAAAAATAATTACATTTTCTAGAGGTTGATGCTAAAGCTGAGGGAACGGAATTGAGACTAGAAAGCTTACAAACCAGACTCAACAACTTGCAATTAATCAAGAGTACATTTCATGCATTAATTCATCTATTTTATGCCTCTTTGCCTTTGGGCTTGTTATTTCCTTCGCTAGAAAACCCCAATTTCCATCTTCTTCTCACCCAACCTGACCAACATCTCTTCATTTCGGTTCTGAGGACAAATAGGTGCCTCCTCTGGGAAGTCTTTCCTGGCCACCTCCCACCCCCAGGTGTCCCACATGTGTACTGTACCTTCCTCAATGCTATCATTTATAGGCTTCATATTCTAAACGTTGTCTTATATTCCTTCTTCAGCACTAGACTGCAAGATCCTGGAGGGTAAGGGCTGTACAGAAAGAGAGGGACAAGGGGAGACTAGATGATTCTTTTTTTTTTTAAGATTTATTTATTTATTTGAGAGAGAGAGAATGAGAGACAGAGAGCATGAGAGGGAGGAGGGTCAGAGGGAGAAGCAGACTCCCCGCCAAGCAGGGAGCCCGATGCGGGACTCGATCCCGGGACTCCAAGATCATGACCTGAGCCGAAGGCAGTCGCCTAACCAACTGAGCCACCCAGGCGCCCCGAGACTAGATGATTCTTAGAAAGAACCACTGGATGAGCAGAGGAGGTGAAGAAGCCATTGCAAAGCTGCACATTGTCTGTACTTTGAACAAACATGAAGACTTACTGAGATTACAAGATGAACTTTATGGAGTTTAACAAACCGCAGCAATTAGATACATGCAGTTCCAAAGTTGACATTTCATGACCACAATTCAAAGCTGCCTAGCAAACCAGTCCCTTCCATAATTACATGTATTTTATCTTAGACCATATAACAACCGGTTGAAATTTTGTACATACAAATACCAAGAACAAATTTGTTTTTTCTTCACATGGGCACGAATGAGCCTAAGTGATTTGGGCAAGTTACTTTAACCCTATTTCATCATTTGTTAAAAAGAAATAGTAAAACCGTTTCCCTGAGTTGCTATGATGACTAAACGTGGCAATGCCCGTCAAAATGCTTTATAAAATATTGGTGGCAGGTAATAACAGAGATAATATACTTCTAATACTATTAATATTATTCTGCGACTGCATCTCCTCTCCCCCACCCTCTCTAAACCAGAATAAATTCCAGCGAATTTAAGGAGAAATAACAGAATTTCACAACAACGTTCCAATTCCGGCCGCTATCTGCCCTAATCCAGCATGGCGGCATCTGCTTCTTGATGTCCCCATCTCTGGCTACACTAACGCAACTGCCCGCTGGGTAGACTCGGCTTTTCCTACGCCCTTTGATGACGCCCCAAACCCGCGCCCGGAAGGCGGGCAGCGCAGGTCTGCGCAGGCGCAACGCGGAGGCGGGTGGGCGGAGTAGGTCGCGATGAGTGGCGGAGGGACGGAGACTGCTGTGGGTTGTGAGGCCACCCCGGGCGGCGGCGACAAGAAGAAGGATTCGCTGGGGACCGCGGGCTCGCCAGCGCATCTCATTATCAAGGGTACGGAGTGGTAGGGCTATCGCTGTGGTGGAGCTCGGCGCTACTCCACCTCCCAAGCGGCGCCCTCTGACCCAGGGCCGCTCCCCAGGGCGCCCCCCAGCTCCCGGGCGGCCTTGCATTCGTGGGAGGTTGGGGGAGTAGTGGCCAGAGCCCGCCTGCTTTCCTACGCCAGATGCCTCCCAGTAACAACCAACCAACCCAGTCCCTCTTACTTTTTCAAAAAAGCCGCGGATGTGCGTCTTGGGCCCCGCCCCTTCTACCCTTTCCCTAGCGGGGGACCTTTGAGCGCGGAGCTGCCTTGGACGCTGCTTCACGACGGTCCTGTAACGCTTAGGGAGGCATGGAGCTTGGGTGTCGGGAAGGGCCTGCACCCCCCGGCAGGTCGCTTAAGAGTTGGGTGACTTTGGGTGGTCTGCTTTACCTACTCTGCTCCTGGGTCATGCAAGGAATAAATGAGATAACATATATGAAAGCATCTTAAAACATTAAAGCGCCGTACACGTGTAGAGATGTCCATTTGTCTTGTCTGCTTTGCGCTTTGAGGAGGTTACATCCTGGATTCTCACAGAACCCGAATACTTGATTCCCAAAGCTCACAACAACCCTATTTTCCTGTAGCAGGATCTTTGCCAGTTAGATACGGAATTTCTCATCCTCATCCTTTTTTTTTTTTTAATTTTTTATCCTTATCCTTTCTTAATCCAATGCTGATCCTGTCTGTCCCAACATCTTGCAGCGTTGAAGCCCTCGTAGGATGCCAGAGTCCTTTCACTACCAAGAGAATGACGTCTTTTGGTTGCTGCCTATTTCACTTTAACCTTACCTGTCAGGACTGTAGACAGCTTCAACACAGCTGGCTGTGGCTGTTTTTCTAGACTTCAGGTTGTCTCTTAAATCTGATTAGGAGTGTGGGAGTGGTGCGTGAGTGTTAGGGCTAGATTATAAATGTTTATATGTGCTATCTTAAGTGAACTGCTTCTTAAAAATGGTTTTTTTGTGTTTTTTTTTTTTTTAAGATTTATTTATTTGACAGAGAGACACAGCGAGAGAGGGAACACAAGCAGGAGGAGTGGGAGAGGGAGAAGCAGGCTTCCCGTGGAGCTGGGAGCCCGATGCGGGGCTCAATCCCAGGACCCTGGGATCATGACCTGAGCCGAAGGCAGGCGCTTAACGACTGAGCCACCCAGGTGCCCCTTAAAAATGTTTTTAATTGCAGTGAAATACATGTAACATAAAATTTATCTTCACCATTTCTAAGTGTACAGTTCAGTGGCATTAGTACCTCCACATTGTTGTGCAGCCATCACCACCATCCATCTTCAGAACTTTTCATCCTCCCAAACTGAAACCCGTTGTACCAATGAAACACTAACTCCCCATCTCCCCCTCCCTCTAGTCCCCGGCAACCACCGTTCTACTTTCTGTATCTGTATGTGACTACTCTAGGTAATTCATACACATGAAATCATAAAGTATTTGCCTGGCTTATTTCACTGTGTATAATGTCCCCAAGGTTTATCCAGGTTGTAGCATGTGTCAGAATTTCCTTCCTTTTAAAAGCTAAATAAGGGCGCCTGGGTGGCTCAGATGGTTAAGCGTCTACCTTCGGCTCAGGTCATGATCCTGGAGTCCTGGGATCGAGTCCCACATCGGGCTCCCGGCTCAGCAGGGAGCCTGCTTCTCCCTCTGACCCTCTCCCCTCTCATGCTGTTTCTCTCTCGCTCGCTCTCTAAAAAATAAATAAAATCTTTAAAATAAAAAATAAAAAATAAAAAAATAAAAGCTAAATAATATTCCACTGTATGTATAGACCACATTTTATGTATCCATTCATCTCTGGATGGACCCTTGGGTTGCTTCCACCTTTTGGTTATTGTGAATAATGCTGCTGTGACCATAGGTATGCAAATATCTGTTTGAGTCCTTGCTTTCAGTTCTTTTGAGTGTATGTGTACCCAGAACTGGAGTCGCTGGATCAAATGATAATTCTATTTTTAATTTTTTTGGGTAGTCACGATATAGCCTTCTGTAGTGGCTGCACTATTTTTACAGTCTCACTCGCAGTGCACAAGGGCTCCAATTCTACACATCCTCACCAACACTTGTTATTTTGTGTCTTTGGCAGTGGCCCTCCTAATGGGTATGAAGTCCTTCTTGTAGTTTTAATTTGCATTTTCCTAATGATCAGTGATGTTGAGCATCTTTTTATGTGCTTATTGACCATTTGTATATCTTCTTTGGAAAAATGTCTATTCAAGTCCTTTGCCCATTTTTCAATCAGGTTGTTTTTTGTTATTGAGTTGTAGTTCTCTATATAGTTTGGATATTAACCCCCTTGCTCATGGATGATTTGCATGTATTTTCTTCCATTCCATGGGTTGCCTTTTCACTCTGTTGATTGTATCCCTTGATGCATAGGGTTTTTTTGTTTTTTTTTTTTAATTTTCATATATTATTTTTTTTAAAGGTAATTCAAGGAAAGTTTTTCAAGTTAATTGAAAATTGAGGTTTTAATTAAAAATATGTCCAGAATTTCCGTGGCTTTTCTTACGGAACCATTCACTCTTTTCATTCTGAAAATCTATTTTTAGTTCATTCTTATTTAAAGACCATCGTTGTGAACAGATCATTGTTGAATTTTATTGCCAGAGTCTAGTGAAAGGGAAACATAAATAAATGATTTCAGTACTTGTGCCCTGGGTCTTTAAGGGTTTCTGGCCCATGGTTTGGGTGTTAGGAGGTAAGGACTGGGAAACAGGGAGGGTTTCCTGGACACTGTAGTGTCTGATCTGAGTCTTGAAGAGTCAAGTGTGAGCAGCTAAGAAAAGAGGGCAAGGCTATTTTGGACTTAGTTTGGAACAGCATGAGCAAAGGTGTGGAAGCATGGCATGTTTGGGAAGCTGCATGTATTGCTACAGTGTGACTCTGAGAGAGGTGGAGTTTGGTAGAAATCAGACCATAGAAGACTTCTCGCCTTTTTAGGGAATTGGACTTTTTCTTGAATGGCAGGAAACTATCCAGCAGTAAGTATAAGAATCATGTGGTTAGATTTACATTTTAAATAAAGCACTCAGGCAGATAACTGTGGATCCTCATCTTGTGCATTGGGTGTTAGTGAATTTGTCTAATTGCTAAAATGAATTTGTAACTCCAAAATCAGTACTGATGGTGTTTTCATAGTCATTCCCACATGCACAGAATAGAGAAAAATTTGAGTCTCCCTACATGCACATTTGTAGAGACTGAACAAGGCAATGCTCTGCTTTTTGTTTTAGCTCTTATACTGTAAGTGTCCTTTTTGCTTTTTATTTAGTGCCATATTTTTCACATTTTTGTGCTTTTTGATGGTGATTTTGCTTTTTAAAAGGATCCCCAAGGTGTAGTGCTGAGTTCTCCCTCAGCACAAGAAAGCTGTGGTGCACCTTACAGAGAAAATACTGTATTAGAGAAGTTTCTTTCAGGTATGAGTTAGAGTGCTTTTGGTGCGAGGTAAATGTTAAATGTCAACAATCCAGAAAAAGGAAGGGAATTCACCAATTTGTGTGTTAGGCCAGTCTGGAAAGTGCCAAAGTAACATTTATAGTGTGTGATGAAGTGATGGGAAAGCAGCTAAATTTGTGGATTCCTGAGATGATTGAGAGAGCGTAGTGGACAGCATTGTTGTGAAGCTGAAAGCCAAAGGAATTCATGGTCGGTTGGATAAGGTCAGGAAAATGTTAAACCCTTCTGGTCTAGGGCTGGCCACACTTTCATGGTTGGGACAGTGTGAAAAATGTTTGACTTGCAGGTGAAGTAGGTTATGCAGGTAAAAATAACTGGTAAGTGTTAATACAAGAGAAATTGTTACGCTGGAAGAGCAGATTTTGGAATGCCAAGAGTGGCATGTTTTACAAGGATGTTGGTAAACCTTTGTAATACAAATGGCATTTTGGTTTGACAGAAATGTGATCAGAGGCCTGCAGGAAGCTAAGCCTATATTTCCTCTAGGAACAGTCGTTCAGTACTTGCTAGTTCAGTGTTCGAGGCAACTTTATAAACATTACTACTGCAAATGACAAGAACTCTGTAGAATGGGTTACAGAGAGGTGTGACTGTGTTCGAATAGCCCTAGTGAGACAAGGAGGGATGAAAACGAGGTAATGGATCTGAGAAGTAGTGAGGAAGAGTAACATCTGTTTGGTGATGCAAGGGACGTTATCAGAAAAATTGCAGTAAATTGTTCCATATGATATTACATTAAAGGCCTGGAAATTCAGGGCCAGAGGAGAAACTTCTTTTATTAGATAATGAGAGATCTCAATTGACCGTTTCTCCTTGTTCCATAGCCACAGAGCAGCATATTGATCTTCCATTAAAGTGCTCATCTCTATCTTTTGTGTGAAGGGATTTTTGTCCATCTCCCACATTAGAGTATGAATTTTTGGAGGACAAACGATTATATCAAACAATGAAAGAATGCTTTGCGTGTAATAAGGTTAGGGTGGAACTTATGTGAAAATCTGTAACTTATATTTGCACTATCAGATTTGGAGAATTTTAGTCCTTGAGACTCCTGCATTGTAATGTGCTTGCTTTGTTGTTATAATGTTATAACAAAACTAGTTAGTGGCTTAATTTCTGTGGTCATGTGTATTTTCTCCCTAGATCTTTACTCTCTTAAATTTTGGGGCCCAGTCAGGGTTTTAGAAGTGATCATTATCCACTTCTAAACAGAATTGAATTCTCTCTCCAAAGGTCAAATAAGTTCTCCTTATATCAGGCTCCCCAAATCAACAAGGCTTAATGGCTTCTCCATCACATAGAAAAATACATGTTAACTCATATGTCTTCTGTGGATGATATAAATAATTTGGTGTCTGAGATACTCCCTGGAAGAGAGATACAATTTTAGGACAACATAGTAAGTCGTATGATAGAAGTAATTGCCCCTGGTGCTTTGGGAGCATAAAGTGGGGGCTCTCCTTGAGACCTAGGAGGAAGCTGAATAGAATGAATGAAAATTTCGAGGAAGTGTGATGTCTGAGCAGTTTTGAAGGAAGAGCAGGGATTGGGGAGGGGTTCCAGAGCATGAACTATGGCAAGGACACGTGAGGAGCATGATGTTTTTGGAAAACTGCAAGTAGTTCAGAATTGCCAACATGGGGGGAAGGGTGGCTGGAGCCAGACATGGAGGACTGTGGGGCGGGGTGGGGGTGGGGGGGTGGCTACTAGGAGGCTTGAACTTCAGCCTGTTGGCTAGTTGTGCTTCAGAGACACTGGTGTTTACTGAAATGTGAACAGATACTCTTTGCCACATAGGTTCTCTTATCAAATAAGGTCCACACATTTCTGCATACTGTAGCCCTCACTTGGGCATTAATAGTTGATATAAGTAAACTATAGACTCCCAGCAGATCTGAGGTGAAGGAACCTGTCTAACTTGATTTTATCTAATTCCCAAACTTAGAATAGAACTTTTTTTTTTTTTTTTAATGAACTCCTATTATTTTCTTACAGAATTACAGAAGTGTTCTGGGTAATGAGTCATTGAAGAACTTAAGCAGAAGTAATACTTCTTTTTATATTTTTTTACTTAGCATACGTCCCAATATGTATCCTATTAAAACTCCTTAGAGAATGGAAATATTGCCCCATTGCGTGTCTGCAAAAATAAAAAAATTAGAGGAACAGGTTATGCTAGTAAATGAACATGAATGGTACATGTTCTTATTTGGAGATTTAATTTCCTCCAGGAGTTTTGAGGTTTACCTTTTAAGCTATATAGTTGTTACAAAGTAGTATGAATAGAATGACTTAACAAAAACAGTTTAAAATTCACCACTTTTCCCCTTAACTTTAACTTTTTCAGACTTACCAAAAAGTACAGAGACCTGTGGGGCGCCTGGGTGGTTCAGTCATTAAGCGTCTGCCTTCGGCTCAGGTCATGATCCCAGGGTCCTGGGATCGAGCGCCACATCGGGCCCCCTGCTCAGTGGGGAGCCTGCTTCTCCCTCTCCCACTCCCCCTGATTGTGTTCCCTTTCTCGCTGTGTCTCTCTGTCGAATAAATAAATAAAGTCTTAAAAAAAAAAAAAAGTACAGAGACCTGTAATGCACTCTCACCACCCATCTTAATAAATAAACATTCAAAGCCCACTGGGTACCTTGCTGTAATTGCATTGCTCTCCTTCCCCTTTAAAGGTAACCACTGTCTTGGTTTTGCTATTTATTGTTCTCATGCATTTCTTTCTAATTTTATTGCTTTTGGTATGTGTCCCAACAGGAAGTGTCTTTTGCATATTTTTTAAGTTTATATAAAATGACTTTATCCTTCTGAAACTTGCTTTTTTGTTGAGCGTAATTATATTTGTGGGATTTATCCATGTTAGTAAATGTAACCCTAGTGTATTCATTTTTACCTGCTGATTTATAGTATTCCATTGTCTAAGTATATTTAGATTGTTTCCTTTTCTTCTTCTTTTGACATTACACTCATGCTGTAGTAAACATTTATAAATGTCTTTCATTTGTGTAAGAGTTTTTCTGGGACACCTAGGGCATGAAATTGCTGGGTATACATGTCTTGAGCTTTATCAGATATTGCCAAATTGCTCTCAGAAGTACATACTGTTTTACTGGCAGTGGATGAGATTTCCTCTCGGTCCAGTCTAAACTAGATTTTAACCTACATCTATTCATGAGAATTGGGAAGAGTAAAACAAACTAGAGATACTAGAGATTGTACCACGCAGCGTGGATTAACTCTGAATTTCATTTTGTCTTTATAGACCTTGGAGAAATTCATTCAAGGCTTTTAGATCACAGACCAGTTATTCAAGGTGAAACCCGTTATTTTGTGAAAGAATTTGAAGTGAGTATTTAAAACTTATTTTGTAAAAATACTGCCCTAGTTGTTAGTATGTTAATATACAGAAGGGGACTTCTCTGGTTTTAAAATCTCTGATTTCCATTCATGAGTTCATAAAATAGGCAAAGTAAAACTCATTAAGAGGCATTACCATTCATGGAAGGAGCTTAAGACTAGGCAGCAGGAGACTTGGGCTCAAGTGCCGGTGCCTACTCTGGAGTACTTAATATCTGTTGATCTCAGTTTTCTTCATCAGTAAAATGAGTATAGTGAAAAAAAGATTTTAAAGACTGATGGGTGTAGGTCTTCCAGATCCATTTTCTATATTTTTTTCTCAGTCGGAGCATTAGCACCCACCCAGAGTACTCAGGTTAAAATAGGAGACTCGGGGCGCCTGGGTGGCTCAGTCGTTAAGCGCCTGCCTTCGGCTCAGGTCATGATCCCAGGGTCCTGGGATCGAACCCCACATCGGGCTCCCTGCTCCGCGGGAAGCCTGCTTCTCCCTCTCCCACTCCCCCTGCTTGTGTTCCCTCTCTCGCTGTGTCTCTCTCTCTGTCGAATAAATAAATAAAAATCTTAAAAAAAAAATAAATTAATTAAAAATAAAATAAAATAAAATAGGAGACTCATCCTTGACTGTTCTTACCCGGTTAATGCCCACTTTCAGTGACCATTTCTTTTGGATATTACTCATAAATCTCATCCCTTCTAATTTGTGTGCCTGCTTCATCACCCCAGTCAAGTCCAGTCTTTACCATGCTGCCAGAGTGCTCTGATGTTATTTTCCTTTTTAAAACCCTGAAATAATATTTGCTGCCTCCAGGATGAAATCCAAGCATCCTTCTGTAGGCCCCTACCTTGCTGGCTTTACCGTCTGCCACCCAGTATTTCGTGCCGTGCTGCATCCACACTGACGCAGCAGCCTGCCGTCCTGTGTCATATTCCTGGTGTCTTACACGTGTGTCATCGCTTCATCGTGCCTTAAACAGCAGCACCCGAGCTACTGTCAGATAGATGGTATGTGGTGTTGCACACAAAAATTTCATGGTTCTGTGTAAGTTGGGGTGCTGTTTTCAAATAAGACTCCAACCAAACAGGAAGTCTAAACCTGCCAAAAGGAAAGAACCTTTTCATAAATCCTTCTTAAAACTACAGAAAGCCTGTGGCACAGAGCCCTCAAGATGAGGGACAGAGCTGCAGCATCAGTTACCATTTCTGGATTCAACAGACTCTTACTTAAAATCTGCATAATACCTAATTGACAGCGTGGTTGTAAAGATTGAAGATAGGCATGTGCACACAATGCATGTGTCTGGATGTGTGTATCCTAGAATGTGATCTGGTATCTAGGAATAAGTAACTGTTAGCTCTGTTCGTCATCATTACTGTTTGGTGGGGTATGGATAGTCTGGGACACACAGAATATTATCCAGAGATGATTCCCTTATCATGCTATATGAAGATTATTACCAATTCCTTAGTTAGAATAAAGTCTGGGCGTGGCATGGCTGGATTCTATGCTTAAGAGTCTCTCAAGGCTAAAATCAAGGTGTTGGTCAGACATTGTTCTTATTTGAAGCTCAGAGTCCAGTTCTTTTCCAGTTCCCATTTCTTTTATTTGCTGTCAGCCAGGGGGCCCCTCTGAATTCCTAGAGGCCACTCACGTTCCTTGGCAGGTGGCCCCTTCCATCTTCAAAGCCAGAAATTGGGGGCACCTGGTTGGCTCAGTTGGTAGAGCATGCGACTCTTGATCTGGGCGTTTTGAGTTCTAGCCCCACGTTGGGTGTACAGATTAACTTAAACCAGAAAAACAAAAACAAAACCGTAAGTCAACCTCGCTCACGTGGAGTCCCTCCCTCTCATGCTTGCCAGGAAGAGCCTAGACTCTAAAGGACTCACCTGATTAAGCCAGGGCCACTGAAGATAATCTCCCTTTCTTAAAGTCAGCTGATTTGGGACCTTAATAAATCTGTAGACTATGTATACAGTAACATTTAGATTATGGTTTGATTGAATAACTGAGAGAAGGTGTGTGTACACTAGGGGTGGGGGTCTTAAGGGCCATCTTAGAATTTTGCCTACCATAAGCTCTTGTAACTACCTGATATTTTTCTTGTTTGTTTATTGCCTGTCTTCCTTCATTAGAATAGACATACCATAAAAGTCAGGACTCTTCATTGTATAAAAATGCCTTCTTCTCCATTGTATTAAAAATGCCTAAACCAGGGGCGCCTGGGTGGCTTAGTCAGTTAAGTGTCTGACTCTTGATTTTGGCTCAGGTCATGATCTCAGGGTTGTGAGATTGAGCCCTGTGTTAGGCTCTGCACTCAGTGGGGAGTCTGCTTGGGATTCTCTGTCTCCCCCACTCTGCCTCTGTTTCCCCGCCCACACACACATACACACTCTCTCTCTAAAATAAATAAATAAATATATTTTAAAAATGCCTCAACCAATGTCTGATGCATTGTAGGTGCTTAATATGATTCAAAAGAACAAGCAGCAGAGCCTTGACTAAAACTTGAATTTTCTGATGTCTACTGATGTCATAAGTCATCTTTTTCATAAGTGTGAAAAGTTACACATTGCTAAATAGTGGCTGAGATATCCCTAGAATATGTGTCATTGTACTTACATCAGTGTTCTTTAAATAATGTCAATGGTTTCTATGAAAGGGCCATCTATACAAATGAAGCTGAGTGTTGAGTGGCAAATGAAAGAAGCGTTACATTTATGCGGTTGAATATCTTATGTTCAAGAGCTCACTTCCTGTAGAAGCCAGTACCTCTTTTAACTGGGATAGAAGATAGTTGCCGAGAGAAGATGGGCTTGTGTCTGAGAGGAGAGGAATTACTTGCACTCCACATCGTGAAGCCTTCCAAGGTCTTTTTGGAAAGGAGGCGATGTTGAGTGGAAAAAGAACATGGGCCTTGGAGCTTGACATCTCTGGGTTCAAATCCTGCCCCCCCCTTATCAGCTATGATTACCTGCTTTATTAAGGCTTAAGGTGCCTACTTAATGGGAGCAATAATGTATACTGTACAGTTTTTGTGAGGATTAAATGGTATGTTATTTTAAAAAATCCCTGACATGCAGGTGTTAGATGAATGTTAACTGTTACTATTAAGAGAAAGATGGTAGCAAGTGCAGTGTGATAAAAATGTTTTAATTCAGAATTTGCAATAATGTGAATGAGATTGGGTTCCATTTTAGGGAAAATAGAGATTTGCTAAGCAAATGACATGAGCATTATATTAGAAAAATGTTTACTAGAGAATAAAATGATCACACCAGGTGTGATAGAAACAAGCTTATTTTGTAAGTGTCTCGAGCACTTATTTTGTGTGAGACATAATGTCAGGAACCAGTGCTGTCCTGGTGAAGAAGATAGGCACAGACCCACCCATGAAGCATTCTCATATTGTCCTTAAAGACTGGCCTCTGAAGGACTCAAAAATATCTTGTCAGCTAAGTTTAAGTGGTTATCTTCAACTAAGTGTAACATAACTCCTTTATATTTTAAATGTTTTGTTTTTTTTTTTAATTTATTTGAGAGAGAGTGCGCAAGTGAGCAGGGAGTGGGGGGAGCCGGAGAGGGAGGGGGACTAGCAGACTGCGCTAAGCGCAGTGCCCTCTGCGGGGGCCTGATGGGGGCGCTGATCTCAGGACCCTGAGATCATGACCTGAGCTGAAACAAAGAGTGGGATGCACAACTGTCTGAGCCACCCAGGCGCCCCCACTCCTTTTCTTGCCACATACCTGATCCAGGCTTTTTACATGATAACCTCCCTAGTTGGTCTTCCTGAGGGTTTAGAGTAACGTGGAAACCTTCCTGTGTATCAGGTTCGTCTACCTTTTCTGTGTACCGTGTGCTGACATTTTGCCTCAAATTAAAAGAAAAAAGCTGAAAGCATTTTAGAGGCTTTTGATTTGAATATATATCTGCATTATTTACAGCTCTTTTGTATCTTGGTCCAAACAATAACATCCTTTGATTCTCGTCCCCAGATGGCATGGTTGGGCAGAGAGGAATGGTGAAGCAGAGTTCTTAAGACTTCCTAGAACTTTCATCGCTCTCGCATTTAAATGTAGTTCACCCTAAGAAAACCTGGCTGGTATTTCAAACTAAAGTTGTTTATAGTTTTTATGTTTCAAAAAGTTAATGCACAGGGGAACAATCATCTTTTTCTTTACAAAATTTTATTTCTAGAAGAGGGGAGTAAGTGCCACATGGTGGCAGCATTACTTAAATTATTGAAGTTCTATTATATTTAAGCTCTCTTTTTGTGTTTGTTAGTATTTCTGGACAGTTGACTGTCTTTCTCCTGACTTTATGCAGATCCTTTATATCGTTGATTCCAGTGCACAGAGATCTCAGTAGGGCCCTTTCAGGGAGCATCAGTTCAGTAGGGTCTGTGGGTGTGGCATTGTCTGCGGGACCATTATCTTTCTAACCACAGAGGAGATGTCATGGCCTCACCATGTAGAACAGTTAGTGAGCTTTTCTGGAGTGCTTTTGGGGTCTATGGTCCTATACAAGTTCCTTATTTCATTTTTTTCTTTTTTTTTAGTTGCATAAGTCTCTTTTTTGATGGAAAAACTTTTGTTATTGAATCATAGTTGAAACACAATGTTAACATTCATTTCAGGTGTACAACATAGTAATTCAGCAAATCTATATGTTATGCTGTGCTCCCCACAGGTGTAGCTACCGTCTGTCACCATACAATGCTATTACAATACCATTAATTATATTCCCTGGGCTGTACCTTTTATCCCCATGACCTGTTTATTCATTTCATTAACTGAAAGCTTGTGTCTCCTACTCCCCTTCACCCACTTTGCCCATCCCACCACCTCTTCCCCTCTGGTTGCTTATTTCATTTTTAGCAAATTTTATTCTTTGAATGCTTTATTGAACAGTTACTGATTACCTAGGTATATCAGTAAGGAATGTGTTTAGTTACTAGTAACAGATACCTGAAAAATAGTGACTTTTTAACAAG